ATCTAAGTCATCAGGCAGAGTTCTCAAATGCTGACAGGTGGCAGCATTGTGGCAGGATGAGGATCTGGCAAATGGGATGCGTAAGACTCTTAAGGTTTCAGTCTCATTCCTCTCATAAAGCTCATTTGTCAACACTTTGCTGGCCACTTTGTGCACAACAACACGTCACAGAGCACCGCAGCATCTTCAGACTCACGCTGTGTTGATTGGAGGTGCTGAGTGAAGTGTCTCCTGCAGGTATGCTGTTAAGATTAAACCCCAGCTGTTACGACGACTTCACTCAGCGGTGAATCACTGGATTCAGGTTGAAGGAAAATTAGCAGGTGCTGCACATTGCCACAGCTTGAGTACAATTGTGAAAGAAGCAGATTGGCTGCATTCAAAATGCGATGAAATGTTCTTCCTTGTCAATATGTTCTAATTAACAAACTGTTGAAAGGTGCCAGGGAAGGAAAAAAGTGATTATGAAGACGAATGATGGTTGGTTTCTTTTTCCTCACCTAGAGCTACATACTAAATGACTCCAGCAGCTTTCTGCTGCTGCTGAATGGTGGAAATATGCCTGGGAACAAAAGGTGTGTATTTGATTGAAATTCTCAGATTTAACTGATTTGATTGTTTTTTTCCCTTTTCTGTTTTCGTAGAGGGCATAACCTGATTTGTTTCAGCTCTGAATTAAAATATGACACCAGACAGAATTTCTTTGTACATCCTGGTTTTCTATTCAGCACAATCGCTTTGTATTTTTTTTTAATTTGGAAGATAATGGGGTTTTTAACTAAATTTTTCCATTGCAGCTCATGTGCTAGTGTGTGAAGGTAACCTCCTACTCACCATTACTCAGATGAAACATTGACAGTGTTGAAAGATTGAGGTCAAAGACAATCAGTGTGGTTACGAACGGGAACAGAATTTAATCACATCTTTGTTTTAATATGTGCAAAACTATCTGTGTGAAACACATTAGTTCAAATGCTTGACAAATGGCTGCACTGGTCACACCAGCTAATGTGCTGCCTTGCTTTTACCTCTATTTCACTCATGAGTGTGAGAAGAGTTCCTCAGTTCCATTAAATCAAAATAATCAATATAAAAAAAAGCTGATGACTCATCCTGCATTCAGGGACATATACTAATTTTGCATCCAATGAAACACTCTCGTGAATTTTTGTAATTTTATTTCTAGCACTATTAAGTTGACATGTTGTTCAATCTCACGTTGTGTAAAAGTAAAATATCAAAACGCATGAACAGATCATAATATAGACACAAGCCTACTATGGGGATGCACCAACTCCATTGTTGGGATGGGACTGCGCCTCTCCTTCACCAGCAACACTGCTGACTTCAGATCCTGGCTCAAGCATGTATGACCTTGATCCAAAAACAACTTCATCATGGTCGTCTTCTTCGTTTCATCAGTAAAATCCATATGCGTAGGCGATGGTGGTGGCGAGAAGTCAGTCAATCAGCTACGGTAAACACCAGTCAGTCTATCCCTAGCTTCCTGTTTTACAGCAATCACATACATATGCCGAATGAAATAGACCTCTGCTAGCTGTTTCATGAGAACTTTAAGAATTCGTAAGAGTAAGACAGTAGATGAAAGAAATACATGAACGGTCTCAAAGTGATGAGCTGTGGAGGGAAGATTTGAAAATATGCCACGGTTTTTACTTGCAGAGATGCACTGGACTGATTGCTATGAGAGTTTGTACAGACATTCATGTGTCCCAGACGATGAATCATACTGAATTTCATCTAGCACTACTATAAGCTTGACAGTTGTGGTTTGGAGTAGGGTTGATGCGAATGCTTCAATCCATTGTTGCCATGGTAATCAATGTCCAAATCAATATTGGAATGCTCCATTTTTTTATACCATTACCCCAAAATCCCCAATAACCCATAAATTTCGAGATAGTAATCCAGGTGATTTGCCACTCTTCCTGTGGGCTTGTGATATGCCAGTCTCCTTTGGCATATCTGGCATGCGACTTTTTTGGAGGTCATGTTTGTAAATTTTGAAACTATTCCAGATGCTTGACTTTATCAACATCTTGCTAGCATATCTGTAAACCTGTCACAAGTGGTAAAACTGTAAGAGTCACACAATTAGGCCTTAGTCATCCTCCAAAGTATTCTTTTTTCTAGCTATTATGGCTACTGTTGCTTTGTTCTGCATGCTAATATAGTGACTAATTGTCATGTTATTTTAGATGCAATGACTGAAAACTGATGTTCTGAAAATGTCCTCTCATCGTCTCTCATTCCCCTCTCAAAGCTTCAAGACTTTTTCTCGACAAACCTTCAATCACCAAAACTGGTGTTTAGGATGGCCTTAGTTTGAGGTGAAATGTCTCAACAAGTATTGGATGGATTGCCATGGAATTCAGTGCATTCATATCCCTCCATGATACTAACGTTGATAATGCTTTGCTTTTTACCTAGTATCATCATCATATCGAAATTTCTCAATGTAGCTTTTGTAACTCAATGAAAAGTCTTACTGAAAATAAGAGACATATCCCAGCTGTTTATGATATATTGGCATCTATGACCACAGATCTGCTAGCAGAGGTTGAAAATGATTTTAACAAAAGTTAAACAATGATTAATTTGTTTGCATACCAACAAGTACAACTACCATGAAAATTTACCAGCATGGCACTGCAGGTACTTACATCATTGTACCTTGGTTTTATTCATACGCATAACGTTTAAATTAAGCATAGCATTAGTTCAGACAGGACACAGTGTCAAGCTCAGCTCACATCCCAGCTACATCAGCTGATCTCAAACAGCCCAATCAACTGATGGAGCAGCTGATTGATGGAAGGGGGTCAGCTGATAGATCACAAGTCCGTCCATGCATCCAATTGGTGAATCTCATTCAGGTCACCCTATTTAAACTGCTCTGGCCTGCCTACGGTTGCTGCTTCCTCTGCAAGCCACTTTGCAACCCGCCTCCAGCCCAGCTCCTCCTTTTCATGCTGTGTCTGACTTATTGATGTCATTTCTGTTTGTCATTGAGGCTGCTCTGTTCTGTTCCCGGGAGGTCTTTGGTACTGCTCTCCCCGCCTTAGGCTTTCCATGTAGGCGCATGGAAGGGCAGGGAGGTCTGCTCTCTCTGCCTTAGACTTTCTGCATAGGACTAGGAATGGCAGAGAGGCCCCAGAACAGAACCCTACCACCAAACATAACACTGCACATGGAAATAAAGTTTTCTTTGACTGAAGTGGTCCTGACTGGATAACAAAATGTTGAGCTTGCAAGAAGCAATGGTCAAGGGCTCATTGGAGGTGGTGTTTACTCAAAACCCGAAAAAACTTAAAATTTCATTCTGCAGTGTAAGCATTACAGTAATGGACTGCTCTTATATCCTGCTGTACTGAATGTTATGCATAACAATGCTTAACAGACTTTATTCCTTTATTTCCTGCACAGTGGAGTCAGCTTTGTTCTGCCCTATTGGCTCAACTCTTTGCTGGTTGATGTTAATGACACTCTCTCATTGATATCAGTTTGTGTGGTTATGACTCACCATGGCTGACCACATTGCCATTCTGTATTCTTGCACATTCCTGTCACTCATAAAATTGGTATAAGATGATTAGTCTCTCAGTCGTTATCATCCTGACCTCAAATTGATTCCCATCTCATGTATTTTTGCATCCTGACACTGTTATTCAAAGTGACTGCTTGAGGGTTGGTATTCAGAAACAACAATTCAACAGGACACATCTCCACTAGATGTGGAGTTGTCTCAACATGCTGCCAGCTGCACTCAATTCACTCTTACCACCACTGCCAATAGAGGTCAATACAGACGTGATCTTTTCCTTGTTCCATTGGTCCCTCGTCCCTCATGGAGCTGTCAAGCTCGCTTTTTCTCTCAAGGTTAATTTCATTTGAACTACACCAGCTCGTGTACTGGCTTGCTGCTTGTCTGTTTTAAGGTCTTGTCTTTACTGATTGCTGTGAAATGAAATTATGCCTCACTGTAAAGTGGAACTGAGCCCTGTTGGACACAGTTAATGATCCTCTCTTAGCAGTTCATATACCCAACCTCATTTCTTCTTTCCTTTCTTTTATAGGTTCAGTATACCAAGTTGTAGTTAGAGCTAATGTGTTTTATCTTTATTGAAAACAGTGGGCTATCTGCACGCTCTCCAGTTTTCACCCATACAGATGGACAGTTTTCCCATTGAATTATGTGTTATTAGCAGTGATTGGTTTAAAAGCCCTTTGTGCTTAAGAATAGGAACGTTAAGTACTTGCATGCTATTTAGGTTACAGCTCAATGGAGGAAAAGATCATTATCTTTTATGAACAAGTTAATTATGCTGTGCGCACAAGAAAAAAATCACCTTTTAGGACTTTAGGGGCTATGTACAGCTCAAATATAAACAAATACAGACACCCAACAAAATACTTACCTGATTTTTAGCTGTGCTAGCAGCTTGGCTTTATGGCAATGTCAATCAGTCCACTACTTTGGTCTAAACTGAAATAACAATCATTGGATGGATAGCATGGATTTTGGTCCAGATGTTCATGGTGCCCAGAGGATGAATCCTAATAACTTAAGTGACCCCCTGACTCTTCCTCAAGTGACACCATGAAGTTGACATTTGTGGTTTTGAGTGAATCTTTTGGATGTATTGTCATGAAATTTGGTACAGACAAACATGAACTAATAATCTTCAATCAAAGTTTATGCTCAACTTTGTGTTTAGAGCTAATTAAGAAATTATAGCAAACTGAACTCACATGTTGAACATAGTAAGCATTACACCAGGTAAACAGCAGCATGTTAGCATCGTTATTATAGGCATGTTAGCATGCTGGTGTTAGCATTTAGCAAAAAGCACTGCTGTGCCTAAGTACAGCCTCACAGAGTAGCATGAACACAGGAACCAGCAAAGTGACCTTATTGAGTAACAGCCATAAAAGCCATTTATTACCCTTTACAACACGCTGACAGCTTCCAAGATCCAAGCGAACTGTACGCGGTGAAGAAAAGCTCTGCCTCGACTGAAGTTTGTTCTTATGTCCTAAAAACAAAATGCTTCACCTGGAGGTGAACAGAAGGTGTTTTAGTTAAAGGACAAAAATAATAACCAGGCCGATGACGTTGCTGCTGGGTTCAGCGTGGCTGCTGTTGGCCTTCTCTCGGGTGTTTACCCCTGTGTCTGCGGAAGCTTGTTTAACTCCAGAGTTCAGCTGCTCCCGGGGCTTATGTGTGCCTGAGGACTGTGTGTGTGACTTCACTGACAACTGTGGAGATGGCAGCGATGAGAAAAACTGTGAGTAAAGCAGGAAAATACACAGTGTAATGATAATATAATCATAATTTGGCAAGATTTTTAGGATATGTGATTGATATGGACAGTCAGCTTTCTGTATAGGCTAATGAGGGTGTGCGGGGTGGATAAATGGTTACAACATATCTGTGATGTATCATTATGGCATTTCACGCAAATGTCAAGACTATTACTGGCTGAAATGACAAACATTTTATTTAACACACAAAATAATTGCCTTCCTGGACAATAAAGAAAATGCTGACCAAGGTCATTTATTTCCTACTTACTAAGGGTAAGGTTTTGTTAGTAATCATCATAGTAAGAGCCTTATTAATGCGTTATTTTAAAGTTCCTCCCCAGACATTGATTAAACCACTAGAAACTCATCTCTGCTCATCAACATTATATATTTGGAAGTTTTTTCCATTAAAAAAAAATCCCTTCATGCCTTAAAATGCTTCAGACATAACACCTTTGCCTTATTTAGTATTCACAGATCAATGAATATGCAAATTGAACCTCAGCCACCTGCCTGCAGCTCAAGTGTACCTGCTTCGCTCTGCTCATCAAACACACAAATCTCTGCTTGTAAACAGTAATGGATAAGATGAGCCTCGGGCTATATATCTTCAAACAGCTAAGAATGTGTTGCTCATATTAGATAAACCTTGATCCCATCGCCAGCTCGGACAAGTCTAAGTGAAAGTGAAACTAAAATTGCAAAATAATGATACATAGATACACTTGCTTAGACTCATAAGTCAGTCTTTAGACGCTTTGCTTAACTAAAGACTGATGTCTTTCTCCCTGATTTTGTGTTTAGATGGGCAGATACAATTTCAGAGTTTAAAAAAACTCCCTACATTGCAGAACCAATAGTAAATCCGCAGGGCGGTCCTTCGGTGGCTCGCTGAACTCTTGTGCTCGTAAACATAGTCCGACTGCGTTAAAAGTTTTAAACAAAGTCGCTGTAAGTCCTTCATTTCCACAATCTTGTGGACTGAGCAGACGTTTGATAAAACAGAGTTAAATCTCTCGGCATCCATTTTCAAGCTCTCTGTGTGTTTGTTTCCTTGCAGACGAGAAAAGGGGGAGCACACATTTCTGGGAGGGCGTGTCCTTTTCAAAAATGCAAGAGGCGTTGCTTTGTTGCTGGCCGTTTTCTCCGGTGTGTTAAACACACTTTAGAAAGGAGTGTCCCCAGACTATCAGAAGGCGGAGATCTCTGATTGTCTGGTGGCAAGACTACACTTGCTTCTCCTCTGATACCCCACAATTTGACGGGATTGGTTCTGTAGGTTTGTGACATAAAAAATCCAAGAAGTCAGAATCTGTGTTTTAGTCGTTGGTACACTGCAGCTAGGCTATAGTTAATAGTTTTGGTAGTTCAAGGATTCAAGACATTAAGGTTTTATTGTCACAGTAAACAGTGTACTGTATGTGTGGGGCAGTGAAATGGAGTGTGGCTATGCTTCAGATTGGATTAAAAAAAGAACTATAAAGGGAAAAAAAATCAAACTATATATATGTATAAAATCCCCCTCTTAACACCCCATGGGGATGGTGGTGTGTCTTCCTCAAGCTCGGGTCCTCTACCAGAGGCCTGGGAGTTTGAGGGTTCTGGGCAGTATCTTAGCTGTTCCTAGGACTGCGCTCTTCTGGACAGAGACCTCAGATGTTGTGCCTGGAATCTGCTGGAGCCACTCTCCCAGTTTGGGGGCCACAGCCCCCAGTGCTCTGAATACCACTGGCACCACTGCTGCCTTTACTTGCCACATCTTTTCTAGCTCCTCTTTCAGCCCTGTTTTTTTTTTAGCTTCTCATGTTCCTTCTTCTTGATGTTACTGTCGCTTTGGATTGCTACATCTCTTGCCACTGCCTTCTTCTGTCGTTTGTCGATCAACACAATGTCTGTCAGTCTGGATCTGGAAGTCCCACAGGATCTTAGCTTGGTCATTCTAAACCACCTTAGGTCCATTCTGACCTTGGGAGCCCATACTGTCTCCATACTCTTTGCGTTTGGTTTCAGAGAGAACAATATGTTTGATAAATCCGAGGATAGGATAGGATAGGATTTTTTTTTTTTTATCTGAGGGAACAATGAAGTAAAATCCAAATGTAGTATTTATAAATCATTATAAGCATTTCTTACGCATGACTAAAATATACAGACTTGGATGGAAATTAAAGGACTGAGCAGTTTAAAGGCATAACTGATACGTACACAGTTTTTAACTTGGCACCAAAAAAGGCAAGTAGATTAAGATATAAGAGGCTTCTGTGAGGATATTCAGCTCTTTATATATGTTAGAATATGAAGTCATGTTTAATTCCTTGCTGCATCATCACTGATCCTGTCTGACATACCTCTAAAAACTCAGTATCATCACTAACTCTTTATAGTCCCACATTTGGCCATAAAGTCAAATAAAATTAAGACAAGATGTATCAAAATTAAATGAGACACCACTTTATTTTTTTTAGCTCCGCTGTGCTGATGAATCTTTATGATGTGTAGATCCCACAGCTTAATCCCAATACACAGATTCATGGCGAACTATATTTCAGGGTGAATTACAAAATAGCACAAGTGAAATGTTTTTTTTTCTGTTGTTGTTGTTGTTGTTGTTGTTGTTGAAGGCTCCAGATATAAGAGGTGCGACTTTGAGGAGGGATTTTGTGACCTGATCCAGAGCTCAGAGTCACCATCTGGATGGACCAGAACAACTGAGGTCCCAGGGCTGAAACATGACCACACCAACAACACATCAAGTACGAGCACCATGACATCTTTCATATAGGGTGTACTGTACGTTCGTTTATTCATATTAATCCATACTTCTCCCTCTCCTTTAGCATATTTCCTGTCCCTTTTACCTGTCAGTGGAAACAGAACCTCTGCAGACCTGAACAGTCCAATCTTTCAGCCCAGTCAGACTTGCCAGGTAACAAAATCCTCTCCTGGCATCCATATAAAAGCCTCAACAACCTCATTACAACATCTTCCTTGCATTTTTATTCAACAGATGAGTTTCTACCATTATGTTGGGTCAAAACATGGAGATCTTCAGGTGTTGGTTCAGACTCACACACCAGGTCAGAGCACAGAGGTGTGGAAACACTCCACACAACCACAGATGGGAACGTGGCGGCGGACAGTGATTACGTTTTCCAGCAATCACAGTTTTCAGGTCTGTAACATTCATAGCCTACTGGTTTTATATTGCTGTTTAATACTGTGAAGTATAGCAATGCTGAACTGACAATGTGTAGCTGACATAACTCTTGCATCTTATGAGGTCAAGTGAGATCTGCTACATCTGTTTCACAAAACTCCAAACAGGTTTTGTCAGTGCCCAATCAAGTGTTGCATTGCATTTGGTTCAAAAGACACACCTCCTCTTTGTGCTCCGATTTCATACTCAGGCAATATGCCCGTTAATATTCCAGAATTCCAGCTTCATAGAACAACTGCCAGCCATATGTTTTAAACAGCCAATAATAGCCTACGTTTAAAGGGCAGTAAAACACTTAAAATGAGAAAAGAAAAGAAGAAGCAGCCTACTGACTAATGGTTGCAGAGGCAAAGGAGGAAAAGGACTCAGTGCGCCCCGATTTGTCAGTTGTAGCGCAGCCGCCTGTCAGTAGTCGCCTGGCCATTCACACCAGAAGCACACTTGTGACGGCGACACTATCACTGCAGATTGTATCTCCAGTCAACATTTTCCATGATGCCGTCACCTACCTACAGCAGGCACATTCAGGAAGAACATGACCGCTGTGGATGTGGCGTATGCTCTGAAGAGGCAGGGACACACTCTGTATGATTTTGATAGATAAATAGATCCCTTGGTAATTAATACCCGAAAATCTGGTCTGCATAATGTAAGTTTATTGTCTTGGCAACATATCTTATAGGTCACACATTATTAGGCTAAGATTCTTTTTGGGGCAATTTTGCATTTAATGAAAGGACAGCTGTAGATAGACAGGAAAGTTAGGTCAAAGAGCAGGGATGACATGCAGCAAAGGGCCAAAGGTCGGAGTTGCAAAGGAAGGACTCATCCTATATGGGGCGCAGACTCTGCCAGGGGAGCTAGAGGTCGTCCTGATCTGCCGGTCAACTTCACGTGATACCAGCCAAAAGCCAGCATATGCCAGCTAATGAAAACTCTGCTCTATTCACCCTCTGTCTGAAACACTCCAGTTTAGCGCCTGTCTCTGTAAGCCCCCTCCTTAAAAAGCCCAGTCTGCTCTGACTGGTCAGCATTTCTGGGTCTTCCACATCCATGCTCTCCACACAGTATAGCAGCACTTTCTACTTTCTACCTTTCACCAATAAAATAAAAATTCTAAACCAGAATTTTCACAATCAGATGTTCCAGCAGGAATATGATCCAAAATCGAAGAGAAAGTACAAGATCTCATGTTTCCTTGACATTAGCATGTAACTACACGTAGCAGTGTGCTTGAAGCCGGAACATGATTTTAACGGAGTATAGAGGCACTGTCTACCATGAAAAATACAAGCTTCTAAACTAAAATCTAATATGATCCGAAATCAAGGAGAATAACATTGACAACCAAGATTACATGCTTCCCTTATGTTAGCATGTAGCTACATGTAGCCGTGCAGTAATGTGCCTGGAGCAGATGACCATATAAAGATATCTGTCATGAGCTGACGTCAGCATGTTGCGAAAGTAGAAAAAAAGCGTATTCAGAGCCTGAGGTTTTTGCTCACATGGATTACTTTTACTTTTGAAACTCTGGCCACATTTAATATAAACAGCCATCATTGTAGCATTATGACTAAAAATATGGAAAAGCATAATAGGTCTTTAACTTAATGTCAACAGTATACACCCTGTTTTTGTTATGGTGCCAAATAGTGTCCCCAAACACCTGTGACCTAGAAGGATATGAAAGGAGTACATTAACTGTGTCCCATACTGCATGCTAATTCTGAGCAGGGTTCGACTAACAGTGACAAAAAAAAGTAAAAGCCGGTATTTACATGCATATACGTTATTGTTCCACAGTGAAAATGGGGGAGCTTTTCAGTCCTTGAAAAACTTTCATTTCATTTGCATGTAGTGCTTTCTCTTTCACAAGACAAGTGTTTTTTTGTACACTAATTGCTAAAACAACATACTAGTGCATAATCTAAACAGTTTTAGTCCTTATTAAACAAGGACAGTGCACAAAAAAACATTAATCTTAACGTGGAGGAGATGATTCATGCCAGATTAGCTATTAGGTAATTTCCACCTGCAGTCCCTGCGGGCAGGTACACACAGAACAATCAGCAGACACTAAAAACATTCATTTACATGCAACAGGAATATAAAGTCCCTATTATACTACTACAAATCTACAAGCACACATCAACATATGAATAGCAGCACATTCATCTGGTACAACTATGAAATTATGATTCATTACAGTTTAAAGACATAAATCACAGTCAAATTAATGTCAACATGACTGGTTGCTCATTATCCATTTTTTTCACCACGGGAAAAAGAAAGAAAAAGAAACATTAATCTAAATTAACTATAATGTCAGATGTGTAAATAAGAAAGAGCTTGCAAGGAAGTTCCCCCGCTCAACTTAATATTTCTATGTTGTGATTGCAATTTGTATCCTATGCCCTAAAATGGCCAAAAAAATGGACAATGCAGGTTTAGAATCTAAAGATTTTTACCAAGAAGAATAGTTTAGGTCTTAGACTACTGGCCCAAGCTTCACCTTATTAACTTACACTGTATTGTGTTGATATTTTTATTGCATGGTAAGATAAACCATAAGTTTCCTTGAGACTGATAAAAGTCATCACAACAGAAATGAGCTGCACAACGGGAGCTGTATGTGTGCAGTGAGGGGCTACTGACCCCACTAGACTCTTCAGAGGCCATCTGGAGTCCTATGAAGCCTGCTGTTAGTGTCCTTCCTGCAGTATATCCTCAGACAAAGTCAGTGTGTCACCCCTTTCCTCCTCTCGGCCTTCACCATCTGTCAACGACTCCAGCCAGATCAGTTTCATAACATTTTAAAGAGAGGTCAACTCTCTGCTAACATTCACTTTCCCCCCCATTAATCTACTTCCTGTTTTAAAGGCAGCTGAGTTAATTGGGTTTTTATTTACCACAGTGATTCTGGCGATTTCAATTTCAGGCAGTAGACATAATGATTTGCACTTTTTCACCTGCTTAAATATCTCCAGGGTTTTGCTGCTGTTCTCTAATTTTGTTGTAGAAAACACTTTTCTTTGGATAGCTTTATTAAGAGATGTGTATATAAAATATTATATGCAAATGTATATACATTTGGCCTAGAGCTTGAAACAGTAACAGAAAGTATAAGGCATGATGGGATAAAAGAGTTTGTGGAGCTGCTTTTATGTGGTGGACATGGCCAAAATAGTGCCAGTTCTAACCTTTCTAAAATACTTTTTACATGTTAACACATAAATGTACAGTTACTCTGTGACTGTATTTTCATTATTCTCTGCATGTCTATGCCCAGGGACCCACTGTCTCATTATTCGCCCATGGTTGTGGGAGTGCTGACTGTTCAGTGACCTCAGTAGTGCATTCTGCTGCCAATGTTCCTCAATACAGTGGAACAGTAACAGTACATTTATGTGTAAAGATGTAAAAAGTCATGTTAGCATTGTGAGCGATAGCACTGTTTTGTGTCTTTCGCCATTGCACAAAATGCCTTCTCATTGCTGACGCCTGTCTACACAACAACACAGGAAACAGAGTCTGACTGTGGATAAATATGCTCAAGATTTTCTGAGAGTAAGGGTACATTGTCTGGATCAGATAAACACTGGCGTGGCTCTGAAATCCTAAATAAACATTTGTTTACAGTATATGCACTCTTCGCTATCATTTTATAGACTGTGTTACTTTATGGACTCAAAGTCTGCTTTTGGGGAAAAAGAAATACCAGCTGACAAGTATGACCAGTGTAAATTGTGTATTTGAGTCAATTTTCCCATCACCCATTATGACACATCCAGTGTTTGTTTAGATCAGTCATAAATGAAGGGTTACAAAACTCCATTGGTGTAGATAAAGCTGTTCTGTGGACTTTGATCAGCGCAGCTTTGATATTATTGGCATTGTGACAGTCAGAGAAAATGTGGTGCATTAAGCTAGCTAGCAGTGTGACTCTGGAGATGGCACTGTCTGTAACTGTAACAATTTCAGCAACTATCACAGGGACTGTCGTGGAATTAAGTACAGACATTCATGTCCTTCTCAGAATGAACTGTAGTAACTAAGAGCCACATACGGCTCTTAAGCCTATCTCCACTGGCTCCCTGTGGCTTTGACAAAAAATGATATGAAAATAAATGGGTTTTTTTTTAATATATTTTTTTTTAATTTGTCATTTTTAGGCCTAAAATGATGCTTTCATTCTCCACTTGTTAAAAAAAATTGTTTTTACAGTCCATACACCAAATTGAAAAAAACATACATAAACAAACAAACAAAAAAAAACATTAAAACATTTTGTCAAATAAAATGTGTGTTGAACATGTATAATCTGGTGCCTTTTCATCAAAATTTTTGCCAAACCTTCAATGGCTAGTCTTGAATCTAGCTAAGCTAGCTATGTATTCCAAATCCAAAAAAGAAAAGCCTCAAAATAGAGAATTCTATAGTGTGTGGACAGATCTGTTTGCTTTCACCACCAAAGCTGCAAAAACTTAAGTACTAAATAATCATAAATAGCCCACTGCAGAGTTGCCACTTTTATATTCTATATTAATGAATGTGCATTTAGACAAATTAGTAACGTTAATAGGTTAATTTTGTTGCTGTACCTTCACCATAAGGCTCAAATATGATTTGAAGATATGAACTATATGTTCATCCCATCTTCATAAACATGATATCTCAAGAACGCCTTAAGGGAATCTGTAAAGTTTGACACAAATGCTCACTTAGACTTAAGGATAAACTGATTTGATTCAAAGGTCAAAGGTCAAGGTGATCTTGACCTTACATTGGTCTCATTCTTGTGAAAGCGATATCTCAAGAACACCTTGACGGAATTTCTTAAATTTGGCACAAACGTCTACTTGGACTAAATGATGAAGTGATTGATTTTTGTGGTTGATGGTCAAAGAACACTATGACTTTGAGTTTATCTCATTTTGTGAAAAAAGGCTTTGAACTTCCTAAAATTTGGCACAAACATTCAGTTGGACTCATGCATGTTTTTGGCCATGACTCAAGAATTCATATGTAATTATGACAAAATTTCACACAAATAAAATGATGAAGTGATGACTTTTTATATCCAAAAGGTCAAAGGTCAGCTTCACTGTGACATCATATTGTTCTGCAAAAACACCTTTCTGTCCATTGATGCCATAACTCCATTTGGTTGGATACTGAATTGGTGACACAAATCTTGGGTGCCCATCTTGTAACTGTGCTGATTGTATAGATCCTGTGTGCTTCCCCTGGAAGATGTGTGTGTGAAGTATCCATGTTTTAATAGACATGGATGTAAATTGTAAGTGCAACTTGACGAGCTGCAGAGGCATACAACCACAAGGCAGTGATTCTAGTGGGGTTTTTTGTTGCTGTTGTTGTTTGGTTTTGTTTTGTCTTTGTCCAGAAAAGGCTCTTTTGATAGAAAAGGTTGCCAGCCCCTGATCTAGAGCCAATATCTGTTTTCCTAGCAGTGTCAGTGTTAACAAATGCATGTAGATACATTTGTCATATACCACAAGCAAATGCACTCAAGCACAGACATACCAAATGTGCACATACTGAAATTTATTACCTTTCTACACAGGCCAGAATGCACCGACACCAACAGACACTGTGGAAAGATAATAAAAAGAGGTGACTGAGTGATTTTTAAAATGTTTTCTGTATCTACCAGGTGGTGATTCAAGGGCAACTTTCAGCTGACAGCAAGGCCTCTGAGGTCCTGGCCATCGATGACCTATCCTTCAGTCCCGGCTGTGTGACGGTGCCTGGTACTGCTACCATTAATAAAATCTCACTACACACACGGGACAAGTTCAGACCCTGACATTTTAAAATATCGGCACACATAAACAGACCGCCACAAACCTGTTTTGAATACTGATAACAGGGGAAGACACTAATGGAAGGGATTCATAACAGAATAACTGAATCATTAAAATAGTGCTTACTAGACATTTTCCTGCACTGAACATGGAGCAGTCACTGTCACAATGTATGGGTTTATTTATGTCTGCTATAGCACTCCGCCTGCAGCTCAGTGATGAATGTGATAAAGCCGAACATCTTGGCTGACAGCGTTTGATAAAGCACTGTCCTCTGGGTATTTTGGACATAATTTTAACATGTTGCCTTGGTGATGTACAGATATTTCAGCTGCGAGTGCAAACTGTAGCATCTTTACAGCTGCTGTTAGTCATCCAATATAGGATGATGTTCCTGCTCCCTGCCTGTAAAACAACAGTTGAGCTTTATTGATTGCCTCATTTAGGCTGGGAGCTGTGGGCTTTCATTTTTGGGGGGGTTTCTTTCCCTGATGGAGCATCAAGGCCAGAGTGTTGAGTGGAGACAGAGCTGCTCTAGAGAAATAATGTCACAGATTTAAGTCAGATGTCAGAGATCTGAGTCAGCACCACAGTTTTTCAGGGATGTTTGGCAGGTGGTGAGCTCGAATTGCGAAGAAGGATTTTTACTGAATAAATACCTTCTAAAAGTCGAATAATTCCTAGTTTTTCATTCATTCATTAGTCATCAGGGAAGGTCTGCAGGCAGGCTGTTTAACCAGGATGATTTATGTGGCATAGATTACATATTTATTGTTAGTAGCAAGAGTGCTGGAGTAGGTTTTCCTTACTTTTTAGTCAACCATGAGGCTGGAATTTTTCCGTTTGTCTCCTACAGTGTGGTACATAAGGCCACAATAATCTTTTTTTTTTTTTGTGAGCATTTTCCAGCTCTTTGTTTTTATTTTGGCCCACAACTTTACAGGTGCACTCTCACTCTAAAGCTGGGCTCAGAGTACAGGAGTTTTCAGCTGTTTTTACCCTGATTCAACACCGGAGAAATCTGGTCTGGGACTTTGGTCGGCGCTGATGTTTGGCCGAGATTATTTCGTAAAGTGAGAGGTTTACAGATCCAGGCTTAATCTTTCTGAACTGCTTGCAGACTCAACGGGGCCGCCTTGATCATTTCAAACATGTTTGATATTTAGGATTTAAAAAAAAAAAAAGATGATTACAGTTATGATTATGTCAGTGCGGAGCAGCTTACAGTTTTGCCAAACAATGGTAAACATTCTAGCTTTTGAGGCTAATGTTAGCTAGCATACTACTGATGACACATAACAACCCATGTCCTCTGCATCTCCCCATCCATTTTCTCATCTTGTTTAGTCTCCTTTTCTTTTCTCTCCCTGTGAAGCATTGTTAAAATTACAGCAAGCTGTCACACCCTGTCAGTCTTCCCTTTGTTACATCTACCTCCCCATGAGATCACATGAGGGGGTGCATTCATGCTCCCTCTGGCACCATAGCTTTAATAATGTCCTGTAGTGCAGTGGTCCCCAACTGGTCCAGCCACGGGGTCCAGATTTCTCCTTAGTCATTAGTTTAAGGCCCACGCAGTTTATTATATTCAGCATCATACTTGCGTTTGGCCATGTAGTTGAGCTAGTTTGCTGTCTCTGTCAAGAACTGTCTGTTAGTCACCTACTCTACAGCAGGAGACGGTACTTTGAAATAAAAGCTCTGTGCTGGAAATTTACTGTTGCTGGAGCGACCCGGGTACGATTCAGGCCTGTGGCCCTTTACTGCATCTCATTCCCTCTTTCTCTTCCCAGTTCACGCTTTGCTTTATTATCAATTAAAAGCAAAAAAAATGCCCAAAAATGCTGCCATTGTCTACAGTGGAGTCTTAAACATTCCGCAGGGTTGTCAGTAAAATCCCCACGACTAAATAGATGGAGGAGGACTCGCTGACGGACAGGTCAGACTCAGGACTTGCATTATGCCTGGTACACACTACACGACTTTTCTGCCTGTTCTGAAAGTCACTATGTCACATTACACGATTGTGGAGTCATGAAATCGAACCATGACTTGACCGACAGACATGACACACTACATGATGATACTCACCAATTATCCCCGGTCGTCTTTCACGACGTGTGTGATGTCATTGTTTTATTCTTGTCCTATTTTTATTACTTTTACTATTATTTCAGTCACTGTGTCTGTTCATGTGCCAGCTGAAATGTTGTTGTAGTAATGTAAAAAGCGCCAGCAGATGGCAGGAGCTGTATTTGGAGTACCATACGCAAACACTCAAGCTACTGAATCCTCCATAACCAAGTTCCTCCAAATGTTTCACAGTATAAGCCTATTTAAAAAATGGAGGGATTCTCTCAGGCGAGGTTATAAGGGGCTTTTAATTTGAAACAAATTCAGGAAGTGTTGAGTTTGAAATGGTGGCGCAATATGTTAACTTTATAAAGACAACAGGAGCAGAAAAAAAGTAAATATATAAACACACAGAGGGATTAATAAATAACGGACCGTCTATAATGTAGTTTGTTTCAAATGAAGCTGGGAGCCTCGACAGTTGTGGTCAGTAAAAGCCCCGCCGCTATTTGTTAATGTTATTACTTTATGTCAGTCTCCATTATGAGGATGTACCATTGTTTGCTAGCTTGATGCTAATGACAGTAACGTTAACTCAGCGGATTGACAAAGTGCCTCTGCTGTTTCACATCATCATTTCCCCCTTTTACTCTGTGTGGTAACATCCCTAGAGGAAATATTAAAAACGCTGGGGTGTTGTTGTCATACAGTTGTCTACGGCAGCAGATCGTTCTGTGTTTCTACTGGTCAAAGTGACGGCTGTGATGGGAGAATTGGATCTCAGTGAAGGGCAAGTGGACCATAACTTTAATTTTGGAGACAAAAAATGTAGGCTTAGCACCATGGGTGATCCATTGCCCAATAGGAAATGTAGAATACTCAAAAGTACTTTAAAAGTTCTTGAGTTACTTTTCTCAGGGAGTAACATTGGAAGTACTTTAAAAGTACTTGAGTTACTTTACTCAGGGAGTAACACAGTAAAGTAACTGATTACTTTTCAAAAAAGTAACTCAGTAAAGTAACTTGATTACTTTTTAAGTAACCCTTACCCAACTCTTGTAGTGCGTGTGCAGGTTTGAGATTAAAGAGGAAAACATTTGTGAAGTTTCTTCTTATGTGCGTGATGCAAACTCATTTTTAGTAGTCTGAGCCCGGCTTATATGACTCGGCATGAATGCTGATGTTGCTCCGTGTCTGCTGAATGTATAAATGGGCAACTGTCTGTAGCTTGTTCACCATGTTATGTTTCTCATTTTTGGGTTTACAGCTTATTGAGCTAATTCCAAGTGGCTGAAAAGATGAATTAATGCAGCTTTAAGTAGAGTAAATAAGAGCAAAGGGAAACAGAATTAAGAGTCTGTGGGCAGCACCAGTCACCCTGGCACTTGGTCCTTTAGCTTCCATCTGTCTTCTGCTCCCAGCAGTGGATTCGTGAAATACTCCACACCTCAAAAAGCATGGCCGGTGTTATTATATAAAAAGAATGAAACCTGATGATGAACAGGTGTGTACAGTATGAGGCACAGAGCTGCTTAGATCTACACCCTAAACACTTCTTTTTAAAGTCAAAGCTCCAGCACTGTCACAAATACCAATGACATTTTGCTGCAAAGGGTTATAATGTATGACACGTCTGTATAAGCTGACCTATATATGTGAAGGAAGACAAGGATATTGTTTTGATATATGGCTCACATCTAATATTGCTAATTACATGTCATTACGGTCACTTGAAGAGCATTATTTATGTCCCATGTCCTTTAATTATCCATCCTATCCACCATATAGGCAGTAAACTTATTGAGTTATGGATTCACCATATCAAATCAGAATAAGTGCGCAGTAATAAATAATAACATTATAAGCACTGGATATTGGCCTATAATCAAATGGATGTGGGATGAAAATAAGACAAATTGATATTGTAAATTGTATGTTCAGCCAAAGTTTGACCCACCCTTTACGCCCTGTCATTATAAATCACACTCTTGTACATGTACAAGTGTCTTTGCATGTTTTAGAAATTAGCTGGCCACCATAAAATTTATTACGGCTTTTATATGCCTAATTGATATCCCCAATCATTTTTGCCTGACCTACTCTGAGGAATCTGTGCCCTACTGTCCCTTAATCATTTTATTAGATATTTTATCCTGCTCAGAGGAGCCAGCTGGGAAGACACTACTCAGAGGTGTAATACCCCAGTAGACAACCCTGTCTCTTAAAAATGATGCTTAAATTGTGCCAGATATGTAAATTAACTACATTAACTCAATATGTTGTATGCATGAAAATGTAATCCAGGTGGCATTTTGTTTCCTACAAGTGTCATTTTTTAGTGTTGTAAACATAGGAGACAAGGTTAGTGCAAAGGCACGAGACTAGTTCAATCAGGAGAAACAAGATAATATTCAATACAGAATATGAGTGTACAGATTAAGAGATGATTTGTGCTGATTAAGATTTAACAGAAGTCTTTGGTGTGGACACCTGAGGGGGATATTTTGTGATCGAGGGACAATTAAGCAGCAGCAGGATAAATCCCCCCATGGAGTCCAGACACTGGTGGTGGCTGATGACTCTGAGGCTGATGAGTACTGAGGCATATGAGGCTGATGAATCTGTAAAGACTAGGTGGTGACTGGGAGGTGGAGGGCACACACATGATGCGAGAAGGACTATGGCAGAGAAAGAAGCATATTGAAAATGAGGAGCAGTCAGATGATAGGCTGACACAGAAGGTCTGTGTCTGTGCTATTGGTCGATTGTGAATGAGCTGATGACTCAATTGACCTACCCACACAATGACACCTAGAGATAGTGAGTGAGCTTACGTGCAAGGAGTGAATGTCAGCGTGAGAAAGAAACTTACAGCCTGAGCATGAAAAGTATTGTCTTCCTGACTGAACTTTTACTCAAGCTTCATTTGTGCTTCTAAGCTGAATTTGTCAATACTTTCATATTAACAATGGATTAAATGACTAATGTGAGGTTGGGGGTTGCATGTTGCAGCCTAATGTAGTTGAAACAGCAGCCTGCCAAGCAACAAATGGCAGATGTACAAATAAGTGACTAGCCAGTGAACATAGCATTTAGCAGCCAAATAGTCAGATATTTCCCTCAGGAGTTGGTGTAGATTTAAACAGAGCTAAAAAGACATGGACCTTTTTCACAGAAGACATTTTGACATTTCATAGTAGGAAAAGCACAAGAATATTTCATAATATTAATGGTGGCTGCATTCCACTTAGGGTTGGCCGTGGTATTGTGCATGCTGGCTCACTGGAATACTTGATTGGGACACTTAATGGAGCTGAGGCGTCATTAATCTCGTCAGTTTCACCTGTGCCTTTCCTACTATGACAAGTCAAAATGTCTGCTGTGATAAAGGTCCATTATATCTGGCAGGTAGCCAGAAACATGACTTAAAATGAATGTTGGTCTGATCGCAACTGGATGTGTAAACAGGCCACTTTGCTAGATTGTTAGCTGTAGCAGCTTTATCAGGGGATTGGAAATAACATGTTGTCGATGTTGTGTTTACAGCTTGTTCCAGCTTGTCCCTCAAAGTGGATGATAAAATCTTTTAATACTGCTTTAAAGCCCCTACAAACCTGTGATGCCCTATTTACCATAGCATCTGTCAGAGTGAGGGCAACTTTTACTATGCCTTCACTGCTATGGCTGGAGGCATTATGTTCGTTGGGTTGTCCGTACGCATGTCCCATTCTTGGGATATCTCAAATTTTGCACAAACACCCACCTGGACTCAAGGATGAACTGATTAGATTTTGGTGTTCTAAGGTCAAGGTCACTGTGATGTCACCTTTGTCCCATTCTGTGAAACTGATATCTCTGGAATATTTTGAGGTGGTTTTCTGTTTTTTAAATTTGGCACAAACGTCCACTTGGACTCAAAGATGAACATGTCATTCTTTAACGGTCAAAGGTCACTGCGATCTCACATCTGTCCCATTCTTGTGAATGCGATATCTCAGGAACATTTCGAGGGAATTTTTCTAAATGTGGCACAAACGACCACTTGAAGTCAAAGATGAACATATCATTTTTTTAATGGTCAAAGATCACTGTGACCTCATACACTGTGGCCATAACTTAAGAATTCATACTCCTACAATGAAGAAAAATTCACACAAATGTCCAATATGATTGAATAATGAAGTGAAGACTTTTTATATCCCAAAGGTCAAAGGTCAACTTCACTGTGACATCACAGTGTTCTGCAAAAACACTTTTCTGGCCATTATTTAACACCATAACTCAGAAACAGAAGGGGAGACATTGGTCAGACACTGAATTGGTGACACTAACCTTGTGTGTCCACCCTGAAACTGTGCTGATTGTATAGATCTTCTGTGCTGCTGGGTGGATATGTGTGTGAAGCATCCAAGTTTTAGAATTTGTAGCTTCTTTGCAGCAGCATCCATGTTTGAAGCATTGTCTACTGTCATGGCTACATATGAGTCTGGACAGACATTGATGTAAACTGTAACATGACTTAGCGGAGTAATGGCAGAGATTCTAGATCTCTCTTTAAGTAAATGAAATTACCTATTTGCCAGCATGGCTCAGCCCAAATTCAAAAAGTTAGTTCCTGCAGGATCTAAAGTAAGAAACCATTTACAGACTTATCATCAATAGCAAGCCAAAAGCCATTTAAAAAATGGACAGTTTTTCACTAATGTTTCCAATATTCCTTGTAAGCAGAATGAAATTGAATTCATTTAAGGGATGGGGTCTCGGACGTACTATTGATCAAAATATCTGAACTTCATTTATTACTTCACAGTTGAGTCTAATCTTCCATAACACAGCTAATGTACTTACTTTTCTCTGGACGCAGCTGAGCTCATCTATATTAATCCACCATGATCTCCCATGAGTGCTCTTTAATGATAAAATCGCTTGATAAGAGTCAGTGATAACAACTGGAGCTCTTTGTAGCTGGTGGGTCTGCACCTGATTTGATCTGGGTTATCAAAGTGCCTCTTGCATCTGAACAATGTCATACTGATTGTATTAATCTTTTCATTTTTGATTCCTGTTGCAGAGAGCAGTGTACCTCCTCCTCCTGTTTGCCCTCCCTCATTGTTCGCCTGTGGCAGTGGAGAGTGCATCGAGGAGAGCAAAGTGTGTGACTTCACCCCACATTGTCCCCATGGAGAGGATGAAGCCAGCTGCCGTAAGAACCTTGTTGCCAAGTAACCCATCCAAATAATCCACATCCTGTTTGTACGTTTGACCGAGAGCAGGATATATATTTATCTGCCAGTATGACGACAATGGCTGACATTTAAAGATTGTTTCCTGGTTTGGATTTTGACCAGAAGTTCTTTTTTTCCTGTTAGTTTTGCATTTGATTTGTCAGCATAGGCTGAAAAATAAAACCCAACCAGTCAATTTCCAGAATGTGAAAACTTTTATTAAATATTAAAATAACAACCTCTCAACAAGGTCTGTGGAGTTGCACAGTGGGATGAAGTTTATAATCCTATTTCATTTTTTTTGTTTAGTTCATGTTAAAACCACAAATTTTATTTTCTGAGAAATACATTTTTTTCTGTCAGTTCAGTGGATGGGTAGAAATACTACAATACCCATGAGCGTTGACTGTCATTGCTATAGAGGAGAAGCCAGTCAGAAGGGTAGTGAATTCAAAACTCCTTGTCATTAAACAAAACCTGGTGACATAGTTGCTGAATAATCCAAATAAACCCAGAATACAAAAATTTGATTTCTTATATGATATGAAAAATTCATATTGTGATACTCGCAATATTTCGACTTTTTGACATAGTGACGTCATACTGTTACCCATGGCAACAACAAACATGGCTGAAAGTCATCATATCCACATTACTGATGAATATTTATCAAAAATCTTAGTGTGTAAATATTTTGTGATAGCACTGATACTCAACCCTACATTATTGTCTTATATGGATATTACAGTATTTGGTCAGAAATATTGTGATTTGATTTTCTCCATATCACCCAACCCTATTTAAACTACTGGTTGTATTGTTAGTTGCTGAAATGCACCTTGGGAGGTATAGTTTTCCAGCAAAGTTTTTATGTGCAAAGGCTTGTACTTTGAAAGAAATCGAAATTTTCCACTGCAGTTGTTAATCTTTTGTCCTGAAGATTTGACTGTGAGAGTTTCATGTCCAGCTAAGTCATAAAAGTGTGTGTTACAGTGCTCTGAAGCTTTTGATCACATCACACAATCCTTCTCAGCAGATGGATTTTATCTAGTTGTCATGAAACTGTAGATTTTTTCCATTTTTCCTAGCACTTTAAAGAGCACTTTAAATGTTGCGTTTGAAAATGTGTTCTTGACCTTGTGAAAGGAAGCTGACACAACAGTTTCACCACAGGGATCCATCAGTAGCTGCTCTGGAGCTTTCAATCAGTATCATACAAAAGAATTCACTTTCAGTCTGAACTTTATTTTAATAATTTCCCCTCTCTCTACTTATTCAGCCTCTGAGTGCGACTTTGAGTCTGGTTCTTGTGGTTGGAATGAGCTCACCCTTGACGATGGCTTTGACTGGGTGTGGGGCTCTTCTGTGGAGGTGCCTCCATACGACCACCCACCACCTGCGGACCATTCTACAAACAGCACTGAAGGTAAAGAAACACCACCACACATGTTTATTAGCACTGCTGCCATCTGTAATATGCAGCCACTGGAATAAGAATAGAAACGCGATGAGCCGATAAGATCATCTCACTGTGTCCAGGGTGTGTGGTCAGAAATAAGTGGCAAAAGATAATATTATCTTGGGATGGAATCAGGGTTTTGTGCAAGGAAAGAAAATCCCTTGTCTATGTGTTTTTGAGAGATAAGCACTTCACGGAGAAATGCTTTCTCAGCCATCTGAATAATAGAAAGGAAATCAACATATGGTGTACTCATTCTGAATATTAACACCTCATCATTCAGTGAAATACACAACACTATGCTGTCCTTGGTTCTCGGACCACAATGTGTTACTGTATATTATGCCTCATTACATCTTTATTGCTTATTATTTTCTCCACATCTAACCTCCAGAAGACATTTTAGGGACAGATTTATGGTTTAACAAGAAATTTTGTTGTGAACTGACTTGATAACATCCAGTTTTTTTAGCCTCACCATCTGTTGTTTTGTTATGTACATTGTGTGAACATGCTGTGAAAGGATGCTCTGTTAGGTTCAGATTTGGAGGCAGTGCAGGCAGTGAACTGAAGTCCCTGTTATGTTTCTGGGAAGCATCTTCATATGCTTCGAGCTTTGTGAAATGACACGTATCCTGGTGGGAGCATATGTTGGAGGGTTTAGAAAATATGGCTGTGACCATTCAAAGATTCAAAACAAAGTGCAGGTATGTGGCGGTGTTCACACTGTGTTTATTTGGCAGTCAGACACCTAATAGGAGCCAAGAAAACTTTCTAACTCCATCACAATACCACCTCATACTGTGCAGCATCGGGCAGAATGGATTCCCGGATTCTTGTTGTTCTAACCTCACCATAGACCTGGTGTCATCTTCCTTATTAAGCTGTTTTAATGACGAATGCATTACCGCTGCACTGCCTTACACAGCAAAACACAGTAGCTGTGTCTGTGCTGCTGATGGACAGTCAGATAGAGCTAACGTTACTGTAATGCAAGTGAGAAGAAAGAACTGGAGCACACTGATCAATTTATAGCCTTTAATACTGCAAAGACTAATGTTTCAACTGTTGAAGACACAGCAGTGTTGAACCATTAGTCTGTTTGCACTATTTAAGTCTATAAACCGATCATTGTGCTCCAGTCCTTTCCTCTCTCTTGGAAAATCTCTGTCTTTGAGCTGTAAAGCACCTGATTTGGCTGCATGCTGTTGGATGATGCACCGGGAACCCTGTTACAGTTACATTTAATCCCTTTGAGCTAAGGATTAAATTACTCTTACATGGGTTCTTCAAAGGCAGTACATTTTTAGGTTAAATAATCAGCATAAGGTTAAAGCTCCCATAGCATATAAAGTCAGATTTCCAAGTCTTTTTTGATATAAGCTATAGGTGCTGTATAAATGCTGTAAAAGCATCCAGTATGATGTAACCGCAGAGAAATGTACAAAGTTCATATTCAGAAACTGTGCCTTTAAATGAGCCGTCAGGACTTGTGAAGTCAAAACTCTACCATATAGACCATTTTAAACCTGAAACATAGGCTGTATCCAAAATCACATATAACTCCCTATCCACCTTATTTTTCACGGAAACACGGAGGCAAAACAGAACGCAGCCAGCTTCCTTTTTTTTGTGCGACACTTCCGGTCCAGCACTCTTACCACTGTGTAAATGGGAATCCCCTTGTTGTTTACCTTGCTGAGTTTAGCTATATATATATGTATATATCACATTTTTCACGTCACTATATCACTGATTAGACTAATCTGATGTTTGTAAAGTCTATAAACACAATGACTGAACAAACATTAGTATTTTCTCTGTGTGTAATTAATAACATGGTTATCGTAGATTAGCTGGGCTAACCGTTGTCTGTAATAACTCACTGAACTCACAAAGTGGCCCGTGAAAAAAATATTTTCTCCAGCAGATGTCTTAGTTACAACATGATTGAGCTAATTGGAGTAGTTTCATGTCGTATCCGACAACGGGAGGCTTTTAACGGATGACCTGATGTTAGCTTTGCTGCTAGTGTTAACGTTAGCTGTCCCTGTCAGCTGCAGCCACTGATGCTTTTTTTTAGACATCGTGATTTCCCAAAACTGAATAAATACCACACATAGCAACACAAAACTGCTTTGCTAGCTCAATCATGTTGTAACAGCTGGATGGTTGATGCGTACATGCTGATTCGGGTGCTATCAGAGCCGATCCGCGCATCACTATGGCTTAACGATCAACTCAGTCAATTAAAACAACCCGTCCTGTGTTAGGAGTGTATGTCGCTGACAGAAAGAAAGAAAGAAAGAAAAGGGAAAAAAAGATAGAAAAGCAGCGTACACCTCACTTCTCACAGTTGCGCACACGTGTGGCTGGCATGCAGAAGCATGGTCTGTGTGTCGAGGGTGCGAGCCGCAGCTGCTCAGGTAGAGAGGCTATGTAGCCCGGTGTGTTTTTTCACTGATTCGGTTCTGCAGGTTCTCTGCTGGTACACTGGAGATGGGGATCAAGCAGTTTGTCTCACTCGGGATAGATTGTGCTTTTTTGGTTCATAGTTTATGATTGACGTATGATTTATTCGCGTTTAGAGGGAATAAATTTCCGTTATAACGGAAACGTGGGCACAGTTATCTAACGTTATGCAAAATACACAGACTAGCTAACTAACTAACTAACTAACTAACTGATTGACTAACATAAACAACTGAAAATTGAAAAAAAATTAGCTTGCACCGTTAGCTCCGGTAAGGGAAAGCATGAGGGAAAGTGGCTGACCGGAAGTCACGCACAAAAAAACGGAAGTTGATCACTATTTACTTCCGTGTTTGAAAATAAGGTGGATAAAGTGAGCAAGGAGCAGTGAATGAGTGAATGATTCTGGACACACCATAAACATTCTAAATGGGTCCTGTTGTATTTCGTGTTGGAATGTTTTGCATTGTATCTGAATGACACTTGATGCCATGAGGCCCAAAAAGACTTTTTATCATACAATACGATACGATACGATACGATGCGATACGATGTGATGAGATACAATGTACTTCATTGTACCCGTAGGGAAATTCACCTTGGACTCTTTTTCCCTTAGATGGACACTTTTTTTTTATGAGCGACTTGTTTCATTATAGAGATTTGACATGTTTGGTCCTATGACATTTTGAAAGTCTAGAAGAGCCGCACAATTATTTATTTTTTACAATTTATTTTATCCCTATTCAAGATAGTGGAGCGTTAAACTGGAAATAGATGGCTAGGTTGGCAAAAGTCTCAAGTGCACTATCCTCTGTGGGCCCAGTGATACAGAAGATCTGGGTAACTTTACACCTGGGATGTTGAACTTTTTGGCTTCATGTGCCACCGAGCAACTTTCATAGAAAATACACCAGGTCCCGCCACGCTGCATCCTGTTGCCTAGCAAAAATATAGAAAATATAGAAAGTGCAGCTACAGTGCCCTTCTATGTTGCCAACTCTTTTCCAATTAAAATGAGTTAGTACTAGCTCCAAACGTTGCTAAAAGATGCCAGATAATGTCATCTGCTGGTTTGCATATCAGTGACACATTGCACATTGATGGAAGCATTAGAATTTAAAAAAGTCACTGAATTTGATTTAATGGAAAAATCCTCGATAAAATATTTGAATAGTATGACAGCCATGGCCCTTATACAATAGTGCACCACTTTCTCATGCTTCCAATCCATAAAGCGAGAGCGTCAGGGTAACCACAGAAACTCACTACAGCTGAACTCCCATGGTAAGTGGCATCTCCTCTCCTCCTGCCTGTCCCACAACTGCATGGCACTGGAGGAGAGAGGGGGAGAAACCCCTTGTTGGGCTGCAGTTACATTGAGCAACTTGTGTGGGAGTAAATTTTAATATCTCTCTTCCATTGATGATCTGAACAAGTTGTTAAATTTGTTGCTTTTTAGAAATAAAGTCGCTAAGAAGGTCTGAAAAGTCATTAAATCTAGTGAGAAAGTTGCCAAGTTGGCAACACTGGTGCCATTTCAGTCATCCTCCCTGCTGTAATGACAGTGCAGAGACGCCAAGAGGCAGATGTGAAAGACGGGGAAACACTGACCCATCAAAGCAGACTGGGCTTTTTTGGCTGGGGAGCTTAAAGAGACAGGCACCAAAATGGAGTATTTAGATGATGTGTGAATACAGGTATATTTAGTCAGACAGTATGAGAAAAATAATGTGTTTTTTAACATTAAAGCATTTAAACATGTTCTCATAGAAACCAAATTACAAGAATTAATCTGCGAATGAGCATAATATTGAACCTTTAACAGCTTTTCTGTGTGTTGTGTGTGCAGTTTGTCAGCCTGAAACATTAAACCCTGTATTTATAAGGAGGTGCATCCTCATGTTGTGTGTAGGAGTGTAACCCAGCATGGTTTGTTGAGTTGTGTGAAATGAAATGGCCCTCTGCGTATCATTGCAGCACCAAGTACTTATTTGCACATTTGCAGCCCGGCTGTTAGCAAACAAGCCTTGTTGTTGTCCTCTGACCTGTCTCATCAACAAGACACTGTTGGCATGGTGACTGCAGTCGACAGGTTATGTTTTGTTTATACCTTGATTCTTAATATACTCTCTTGACATTGTTGTGCACGGAAATCCCAGAGAGAGAGGTATTTCTGACAGGGTGAAATTGACCCATCTGGCAATCAGAAGGATAAGCGAAGGCGTTTAGTCGAATAGTGAATGATCCTCTTGACTGTCTGCATCCGTTTTGGCTTTTTCAACTGACTGAACAAGTTGTTTGCAACAGTGAGTGTATGTGTGTGTGTGTGTGTGTGTGTGTGTGTGTGTGTGATTAAGTAGATGTTGAATATGGTTTGAATAGTAATTGTCGTCTCACTCACTGCAGGCCACTTCATGTTTATATTGAAGAACAGTAGCAGTCTTTATCCAAGGGCTGTTCTCCGAGGACCCTGGTTCAAACAGTCTGCCTCCAGGTGTACCATGACCTTCTGGTGAGAGTCACACTGTTGCTTCCTTTTCTCCTCTTTAAAGTTGCTCAGCATGACTCGCTATCATAACCAGAATCTGTAGATCCACCTGGAATTTCAGGCTTTTTCCACTGGCTGTCTGTCTTCCTCTTTGCTTTTCTTGATCTTTTTCCCTTTCCTCCAACCATCATTCCACCTGTCTCAGCCCTGCTCTCTCAGCATATCTTATTTCACAGTCAAACACAATGAGAAGATTCGCATCTGAATCTGTCATGTTTCGACAGCTTTATGGCCTGTAAAAGTTTATGTCAAATGACAGATTTTATTTTTCCACCGGATGATTGGAGGGATATTCCTGCCAGAGAGGGGCTGGAGGTTTATAAATTTCTTTTTTTTTCTGCAGTGTAATCAAAAGCCCTCATGTATTATATCCAGCAAGCATATGCATTTTCACAAGAGGAATCTGTGATTTATAGTATCTGATCTGTGGAAATCATTTTAAAAGTATAATACAACAGAATGCACACATTGCAGTTCTGGAATATTATTGTCAGTAAAATTCTAGCTCCACTCTCTCCCACATCTCCTCCAGGCATTATAACTCAGGTATATCTGTGGGGGCTGTAGACATGTACCTGCGAATTGCCGGAGACCAAAACAACACCATCATATGGAGGACTCTGTACGACCAGGGAGCACGCTGGAACCAAGTCAACGTACAGCTGGGACGCATCACCCAGCCCTTCCAGATCGCTCTGGGTAAGATCAACCTCGGTGTGTTTGATGGGGTCTCCGCCTTGGATGATGTCACCTTCAAGAACTGTTCCATGCCCCCTGCGGTGGTGGAGTGCCCCACGCACACACATTTCCACTGCGTGCACACCAAGGTGTGTGTGGAGCACTTGCAGCTATGTGACCTTGTGGATGACTGCGGGGACGGATCAGATGAGGAGGGATGTTGTGAGTGTCTCTTTTGCTTGCAAATATTCAGTGGTGGAAGGAATACTCAAATTGTTAGAGCAAAATTGATTTTGCACATCAAAGCCTGTATACAAAACCTTTTGTGGCTTCAGAAAATACATTACCCCAAGGCCTAGTACACACATGCATGGTTATTTTTTTTAAATGTAACTTTTCCTGTGCATTTTGGCCTTTTGTTCACATGCCAGCTGCACTTTAAGTTGCTGTAAACAAACCTTTGTAAAACTCCAGGGAGAGGATTTTCAGAAACATTTTCAGGATTGACATGTAGGCTTGTAGCATCAGAATATGCGCTATTATCTCCTTTGTGAGGTGTCATAAATGAGGCAACATTTTGTGCAATGGCAAATGTGACCTAATATGTTAACACATAAATGTACAGCTACTCTTCCACTATATCGAGAAACAGAGGCTTCAGAAAGCACTATGAAGGTTACTGCTCCAGGAAGCCTTACAGTAGTAACTTTTTCTAAGGCTTCTGATTTGCCAACAAGGTCTTCTTCTCCTCCTCTGTTTCTTTTTCTTCTTCTTCTTCTTCTGCTTTGCGTGATTGGCCAGCATGGCTCGAAGGTTAGGGTTATATGGCCACCTGTTGTTGGCATGCTCTTGACAGCGGAAGAAAGAGATTGTTTTTAAACCTTGCTTGTGTGGACAGGATTTGACTTTTTTAGAATGAAGGAGGAAAAACTCAGTTATTAAAATAACCTGTGTACATGTGGACTGGGCCCAAAAGACGTCACTTCAGGGACCATACACATGCTGCGTCTTTAAAACGCGAGGTTGCGAGATACTTTTGTATCAGCTTTCAAGGGCACAGAGGAAGGTTGCGTCTGAGGTTGCTAAGCAACCATAACCTGCACTGTATCATAGCCTACTTACCAGAAATCCTGAGTGCAGAGCTGATCTTCATCCAGGTGCTGTTGTAAGTGTGTATTAGGCCAAAAATGTTGTCTGTGGGACAGATGTAAAGCTCTGGCAGCTCTGCACTAAAATGATCAACTTTTTCATATTTACCACAGACTATATTATATATTATATAGATATTTATGGGAGAAAGGAGAGATATCTGTTGGCTGTGATTGGTTGGTTCTCAGGGTGCAGCCATTGCGTCTACATTGAAAACAATTAATGTGACGGTGAAAAAAACGTGGCATGTGTACAGCCCCTAAGTCAGCGCCAGTGGGGAATGAAGACTGCAGATTTGAAAATGGAAAAAAGAAACTGGGCTTATAGAGAAAGAAATGAGCTTACCAGACCTCTGTAGCACGCTTCCCATCTCTGCTTGAGGCTATTGGCTCTAGGCAAAATTAGTCGCTACGAGCAAAACACACTCGAACATTAGACCAGACTGTTGGTGGTTGAGTTGCATTGTGGGCAGGCACCTGGTTTAGACAAGTAAAATGCGTGGAGGGGAAAAAAAAGATGATATCTCTTTTTTTAAATTGTCTGACAGGAGTTACAATGAGTGCAGAGTGCAATGCTAAATCAGTGCCCAGCAAAAGAGCACTGCAAGTACTTTCTGCTAAATGTACTTTAAGCATCAAAAGTAAAAAAGCTCATGCGTAAAAATTCCCCCTGTGGTTATTATTATTATTGTATATTAATTACTGCATTACTAGTACTGATGCATTAATGTGTAAAAAGCATTTTATTGTTGTACCTGGTGAAGGTGAAGCTAATGTGAACATTTTTAATAAATTGTTAGGTACAGTCTATAACAGTGTATCATATTTTTATTGTAGTTGTCAAGAAATAACTGTAGAAGAGTAAAAAGAACAATATTTCCCTTTGAAATGTAGTGGAGTAGAAGAATAAAGTGGAATAAAATGCAAACATTCAGTTGTACAAATTCAAGTATACAGTACAAATACCTCAAAATTTTGTTTTCTATTCTCAGTGTTCATTTATGTCCTGTCATGTCTCACAGCTCCAGAGCTGCAGTGTAACTTCGAGCATGGCCTGTGCAGCTGGAAACAAGAACAGAGTGGAGGCGATGTGTTTGACTGGACCCGTACCCGAGGCCCCACCCCGACCTTCAGCACGGGGCCCTGGAAGGACCACACACTGGGCACCAGCTACGGCTACTACCTCTACATCGAGTCTTCCATCCCCCAGGAGTTTAAGGACACGGCTGTGCTGCTGAGCAGAGTCTTCCAACCGACCCATCATCGCGGCAAGGACCCCAACAGGTCCCGTCACCGCTGTGTTTTCCGCTTCCATTACCACATGTTCGGCTCACATGTATTCTGCCTGGCAGTGTACATCAGGACCACTGCTACAGGTCGTGGGCAAATGCTGTGGGTGCGATATGGGAACCAAGGAAACCTCTGGTACAGGAAGACTCTCTACCTTAGCAGCGCTCGGCCTTTCCAGGTAACCAACCAGAAACTGATCCAAAATGGGGAATAAAATCTGTTTTTAATGTGTTTAGGTTTCTGCTTTATAGTTTGTCATTCAAGTGTGCAGAATCAAATGTTATTTCTTGAGGCCATGACACATCAAGCCGACGGTCGCTCATCTGTCAGTGTTGGGCCATTGGTGAATGCCTGACGCCTATAGTTTTAGCGGTGCTTCCCATACCATTGGCACTAGTCAGCCCTTGTCGGCTGTTTTTTTAACAGATTCAGCATTAATTGAGTGAGTAAAATCCCTCTGATTGGCAGTTCAGCTCAGTAAACAAGGCAAGAAATGAAAGTGAGGAAAGTAAACAAACTGCTAAAGTCAAGAAGACGTGAGATTGAAACAAACTTGTTGTATTAGGAAAGATCATGTTTTTAGTCGCAGAAATATTTTTAATTGTTTGTGATATTGTTTGATAGCGCATGATACATATCCTTTGTTCTTTAAACATAACATTGTGTTGTTAATGTGCTAACTGGCTAACTAGCATCTTGAATCTGTCCGGTTGGTCTTCTTGTTTCCCTTTTTGAATAGCGAATATGGATTACTGCTGCCTGCTGGTATGAGAGTTTATTCCTCACACAACATACGGACTAGTCGGCTGTTGGTTGGAGTCTTTGCGGTGTGTTCACTGCAACTTTCTGGCTGAGATACGGGCAATGTGGCGTGAGGCAACCGGCGGTCTGTGTCACCAATAGTTCTTTGATGTAGGTTTGGTGTGTCTGGGCCTTTACTTTAAAATAAGTCAGAAGACGTATCCTTTGCATTCCTTAAAAAATGTAATCACTGACACTGAAGACAAGTTTATCATTTTAGGTGAGAACCATGAAGGTTTCTTACTGTGTTACTGATGCTTTCAGCAGTAATTTAATGTTGTGGGTGGTTAAAGTGGAGCTAGCTTTAATTTCATTATATAGTGTTGGGTAGTTTACTATAGTACCACTTGTAGTCAGCTCACATCCCACTCTGAATCATTTACATTTAGTCCCCTAGTGCAATAAAGGATAGAGACCTGAGTCACAGGTAAACACAGCTCCTCAGCAGGGAACAACAAAACACTAGTGAAGCAAAGAGTTTGTGTTTAAGAGTGCACTACAGCTTTGCATGATGAAGATCTATTTAATAGCTTCACTACTCGGCATCGATCCCTCAAGATGGATGTTGTGTTGTCATTACTCATGAGTGAGTATAACTTGAGAGGCGGTTAAAGACTTTTCTTCCACTATGGCATTGAAAACAGGAGCTCTGTTTGTCAAGTTAATTTACTGCAGAAAGGGTAAAAGTGGAAAAAAGAAGAGACACTGATGAATTGAATTCAGACTCAGGCTGATCTATTTGCTCCCACAGTGGGCATGTTGCCATAAAATGAAGTATTTTGATCTGACATCTCAAACCTGAAACACAACTATCGCACATATGAAAGCACCGTCTTGGCCTAGAGCATCTAACGAACACTGAGAAAAAGCATGAAAAAAGCATCAAGAGCTTAGCGGCTCTTTGCCAAGGTGGAAATGGCTGGTTATTGGAAAAATATATCAAAACATGTTTGCAAAACATTGCTGCTTGAATCATGCTAATGTGACATTCAGCGTAAAAACTTCAAGTAAACACTCACATAGTGCCTCTTCCAGATATCGCTTCAAATAAACACTTAACAGGCTTTCGTCATTTACTTGATACGCTTTTTCCTTTACTTTTATTTTTGAGGTCCAAGCTGTTTTCTTTGAAAACTAACATCAGACTCTCTTTGTTCAACATTTCCAAATTATGTTCCACTTCTTGGCAATGACACAGAGTCAACAGACCTGGTGGCTGCTGACACAACTCATCTGAAGCAATAATCTTTTAGCTAATGATTTGTTGCACTGGAAAGCTGCTGACAAATCTTAAAATTCAGTGTATGTAGCATCACTTACTGGCAAGCAGGCAAGAAAATACACTCAAATACTTAAACTGTATTAAAGCAGCAGCACATAGAGGTGCTTTTCAAAATGTTGGGGCCACTTGATTTTGTGTGTAAATGGAAAAAATAGCTGCCCGAATGTAGATCATTATCACACATGTGCAGTTAATAACTATAATGACTGCAAACCATTAAGGTGCCACGTGATGTTATGCCATTATTGCTTACTGGAAATGGATTTAAAAATAGCTAGTGCATATTGTTAGTCTCAATTAATTTTTTGTTGTTTGTTGTCATATTCTCTTTTGTCAGATTTTGATAGAAGGCACAGTTGGAGATGATTTTAATGGAGACATTGCCATTGATGACCTTTCCTTCCTAAACTGCGACCCATATGAAGGTAGATGATTATGCCATTACAGAAAATGTGATTTTTAGGACAATATCTGTGCTCTCCTAATTCTCTCCTGCTGATTTGTGTTTTCTACCATGCTGTGTTCCAGGAGAGCTCCCCACAGTGAATAGCACGACCCCTGCAGTGACCACTCCGGCCCCCACAGTTCAGCCCCACAGCTGCCCTGATGGAGAGTTTGTGTGTGGTGCACACGGAGAGTGTGTATCCAACAGCAAAGTGTGTGATTTCAGACGGGATTGTTCTGATGGCTCGGATGAATTAAACTGTGGTAAATATTTATCCGTTCCATACAGAAAGTTGTCATTATTTCAGTATAATAACAACAGTAATCACAATGCTGTATCTTGTGTTTCCTGCCCTTCTCTACTGATCTACCTTTCTCTGTCTACAGTCAAGGAGCGGTGTGATTTTGAAGGCGGTGACACCTGCGGTTGGAAGACTGTCGACTCCTCTTTAGTCCCAATCCACGCATTTCGCTGGTCACCTGACCAGGGGGAGAGCATTCATGATGGAGAGCAGTACCACCGTCCTATTAATGACCACACCCTGTGAGTACCAGCAACCACAAACAAGAAGTCAATTAATCAGTCAACTGAAAAATTACTATTGATACAGATTTTTTTTTAATCAAAAATGCCAAACACTCTAAAGCCCCTTTTTTCTTTAGAGATTATACAATATGGCCGTCTTTGCTTTTTAGCACAGAACCAAACAATGGCGGCATAAATCCACTCCACTGTGTGAATTTTAGGCAGCATGCCAGGGTTCCAAAGGCAAAAGACGTGTGATGGTGTGACATGAGACATCGGCCTCTAGTGTGACTTATAACATATACACTGGCCATGGGTTATAAACAATAACAATGGAGTAACATGGCGATAACTGTCCCTGTTATTTGGCAGCTGGTCTCGTCTTCTGCTCAGAGGGTAAGGAGCTCCCGAGACCTCAGTGTTTTCTCAGTTTCCGACATTTTTGGCTGCTGCTCTTCTTGTTTGAGTTAGCTGCTAACTGCCATCAGCTGCTTGAAAATTCTAGGTAGTGGGTTGCACAAGATGTTGTCAAAACATCACACCGGTCCTGTCCCTTTTACACAAATGTCGATTTGGCGCTGTTACTACCTCTGCTGCCAACCTGAAGGTGAGACAACTCTGTCCCACCACTCTATGATCGTTCCTTTTATAAAGAACAGTGAGTTGGAAAAACAGCATGACATTCCCGCCTTAAATGGACCATAAAGGGGCTTCTGATTCCACCTTCTGCAACTATGATGTTAGTAAATTGGATTTTAGTTTGTTGGTCAAATGACACAAGCAATTTGAAGATGTAATCTTTGGCCACTAAAATGGACATTGTATAGACAAAAAAAAAATACTGATTCAAGACAATAATGGGCAGATGGTGAAAATATATTAGAAAAATGTCCCTAAAATGATCACAAATTATAACTGTCATTAATTATGGTAAATTGATGGTTAATTAAACTTTAGTCAATATTTATTGTACTATAAACAAACAATTGTGTTTAGTAATTATATTATCGTAGTTATGATATAAGTTCTATTATTTTAACAGTTTATTTTTGCACACATTACAACATTTTATATACTGTATTAATTATTTGTCAGAGGTGGGACCAAGTCATTATTTTGAAAGTCACAATTCAAGTCCCAAGTCCTAAACTTTGAATTTTGAGTCCTAAACAAGTCATAATGGGCTCTTTAACAAATGTAATGCCAATATTAAATACCTGAAAAGCATGAATGTTTTTTTTAAAATTGACTATTTTTTGTTGGTAAGCTAAGCATTAGCTCACTATGTCATTATTTTCCGCAACCTTCTGTCCTTTGTGTAACTTCAGATGTCAAAGGAATTTGGAAGCTGTTGCATCTTTGTTTGTAATTTTTGACCTGCAGTGCATACTGCAATTCTGTTTTGTCTTGTTTTTTATACCACTGTGCAGTTTTTACCAAGTATTTCCAAGTCAAAAGGCTCAGGTCCAAGTGGTGTCATGAGTCATTGGTGTTAAAGTCCAAGTTGAGTTGCAAGTCTTTTCTGACATTGTAGAGTCTAAAGTAAAGAGTTCTAAAATTTGGGACTTGAGTCTGACTTGGGTCTGGCATTTATTAATTGATAATAGTTTGTAAACCATTGTAATCATTATTGATGGTTATGATAAAGCTGCAACTGATGATTATAAGACCTTGTTAAATGGTTAGTAAATACTGTGTAGTGCATCTATAGACATTATTTGGGTGGCCATTATGAAGTTGTAACATTTATAAATGCACTATAATGTATTTATTAACCATTTAACAAGGTATTATTAGTTGCAACTCTATAGATTGTCAAAATAATGTTTATAGACAGTTTACAAGCCAGTTACTGAGCAGAAATGAATACTTAATATAGTATATAAAATGTTAGAATGTGCACAACAATAAACTGTTAAAATACCATAAATTAAAGCATTACTTATAATTAGTAAACAATATTTATTGTTGTTGTTTGTTAACAGTAAAACTAAAGTTACTGTTATAACATGGTAATGATTAATTTACCTTTTATTAACAGTGGTTATAATGCGGTGTTACCCAACTACAAAGACTCAAGGGAGCTTTATTGTCAACCCATCCATGTATGAGTACATAGTAGGGATGAAATAGCAAAAAAAAGTAGAAATTCATTTTAGTCAGTGACTTGCCTTGTCTCAAGCAATCTTATCTCTTTTCACATACGTTTTCCCTTTTTACTTAACTTAAAGCTAAATGTACTGTGAGCTGAGTGAGTATGGCTCATCTATAGTGGATATCAGTGACCTGATTGTCCTTATCTGTGTTTTATTGAGTGGCAGGCGAGAGCAGAAAATGGCACTTTGACCACTAGATTTCAGTCATTTCTTCCCTCGGCCAGAATAGCTGTCACTATCTTCCTCTATAACCTCTCTGTCTGCCTGAAACTCGCTCCTTGACTGGCTCTCAATCGATAAGGCATGAGTGAAATGGAGAGGGGAAGCCATGTCATATTTAAGTGGAGCCATACCTCTTATGGGAATTTTAAAAGGTGAGGTGGAAAGGGTTGGAGCAGATTTATACGTATGTTGGCACGATGCTGAGAGTGTGAGGATACAGATGATACTGTCGTTGGTGGACAGTTTGTAATTGGCAGTTTATAGCTTGCTGGCTTATTAGCTCAGTAATGTAAAGTAAGCTGTTGTAAATTGGACCGTAACTACTGTAATGATTATTTTCATTATCGATTAATCTGATGGTTGTTTTCCCAACTGACCTATTACTCTGTAAACAATAGTCAAACAATGTGAAAAAATGGCAGTTTCTTTAAGGTTCAGTCTGCCATTCTGTATAAGAAAGTTAATTGTTGAGTTGTATTCCCAGGTCATCAAGTACAGATTATCTTATTCTGGTCGTTGGACCAAAGCACTGTATTTGAGGACCTGGAAATTGGACTTAACAACCTACTATCATTCTCCAGAAGTATATGCTGCACATTTATAGCTCTGTCCAGCTCCTTCAAGTCAGTTGTTTTTGTCTGACCAATAAGATAAAATGTTTGGCATGTTGCTTAAAAGCTGCTGAAACAAATAATTAGTTATCAAAATCGTTGCTGATAAATACTTTGATTGATTCTTGAATTATTCGCCTAACTGTTCCAGCTCTATTAGCTTCTTTTCATTTGATGTCATACATTGGATTGTAGTCCATAAGGAGGGCAAGCAACTGGAGGCAAAGACTATGATTTTCACTGTACACAGTTGTTCCAATCAATCAAATTGGGGGAAAAAAAACAAAGGCCACTATAAGTCCCGAAAATAGTAGCATGTGTTCAGTCTGGAGAAAGACAGTCAACTAATATCAAACACAGAAGTTAAAGCATTGTGTTAAACATGCATTGAGTTGGACGCAGTTACAATGTGTTGTGACAACTCTGTGTTTTCAGCAATGACCCAGATTTTTAACAGCATTGCACCAGACCTCTGGGAACAGTTGACCTAGTAGGAGGAAAATAGTCATTAAAGTTAACTAACATTCCCTAGTCGCGTTAGCCTGACAGCAGTGCATCTGTGTTCAGAGTTGAAATATGAAAGTCAAACTCAAGTACATTTACTCATCCGGCCAAAAACAAGGCTGCAGTTGTTTCAGTCATGGACCCAACTGCACACTTAATAATCCACTAGACTCTTATATGCTTTCATCAGCTTGCCGTGTAACATCAGGAGGTCTGAAGGACAAGGTAATTTGTAACTATGATGGTTTCTACCCCGGGCGAATCGGTCAAGTAGTGGGGAAAAATCACTTTTCTTTGTTCTGTGTAGATCACATCTAACACGAGTTTCGGTTTTCTGATGAAACCTGCTGCCTGCAGGTTCATCCAGCCCTCTTATTTAATCACTTTCCTCTATATTCAGTTCACACTGTATATGTATCTATCAGCTCCTGCCCTCTATCTGAATTTTGCATGTCATCATGGTCACCTGACTGCAAACAAGCTGAAGTCATAACTGAAAGTAAACATTGTCAGAACTATGAAAGTAACCTCAGCTGTAAAAAAAACTCCACTCAGAAATATGTTTGCTTATTGGATGTTTGACCTTCACTGTGCAGTGTGATGTATGAGCAGAGTTTGACACTAGAAGGCTGTTTTCACGTTCATCTGCTGACAGGGGGATAGTTTCTCTGTGCTCACCTTAAAAATGGAAGTTTACAGTTACAGAATTGTGATCTGGAAACTTAAAACCACCAGTGCACATGTATTGAGCATGAACCTCACAGTGAAGTATGAGACATCTATTGCCTGACAGTTAAACTTTTGAAATTGAAAATATTGCTGCTATAATGCTGCGTACCATTTACCTGGGAAGTCAGAGCTGGGAATGATGTCACATTGAAGTTGATTGTGTTCCAGTGCAACAAGTGTGAATAAGTGCTAATAAACAGTATGTTACTACAGGCTAGTCAGGACCACTTTAGTCAAAGAAAACTATTTCTATTTGCAGGATTATATTTGGCAGTATGGCTCTGTTCTGGGACCTCTCTGCCCTTCTACCTGCTTGTGTAGAAAGCCTAAGGTGGAGAGAGCACACCTGTCCATCCTTCCACGTGCAAACAAGGAAAGCCTGAGGCAGAGATCAGACCTCCCTGCCCTTCCATGCGCCTACATTGAAAGCCTAAGGCAGGGAGAGCAGCAGCAAGGACTCCCCGGGAACAGAGCAGCATCAGTGACAAACAGACATGTCATTGTTAAGTCAGACACAATATGGAAAGGAGGAGCTGGGGTGGAGGCGGGTTGCAAAGCAGCTTGCAGAGGAAGCAGCAACAGTAGGCAGGCCAGAGCAGTTTAAATAGGGCACCCTGAATGAGATTTGGCAATTGATTGCTTAGAAAGGAATCATGTGTTCTATCAGCTGACTCCCTTCCACCAATCAGCTGCTCCATCAGTTGGGCTGTTTGAGATCAGCTGATGTAGCTGGGATGTGAGCTGAACTTGACATTGTGTCCTGGTTGAACTAACTCTGTGCTCAGTTTATCACTACTGTTGTTGCACGGAGCAGCCATCTTGAATTTTGAGTTTGGGGTTGGTGAGGTTCCTCTTCATGGGGCGTTCGAGGTTGAAATTTACAACTGAGAATTGAGAAATTCAGATTTCCCAGTACAAATGGAGTGTTTTATACATCTGAAAGAGATCTTTAAATTTATAGGAAGCCAGTAGAAGTAAAATAAGAGATGGAATGAAACAAGTGACTGCAGAGTTTTTCAAGTGAATTGCATATAGCAGAAAAGAACAGGGTTTGTTCAATGTCACAGAAAAGACAGTGTGCAATCCAGAGAAAAAAAGATGCTCAACTTTAAAACTGGACAAGAGTACTCAGAGTAAAAAGAAGGATGGCACACCATCAAAGCAACCAGTGTCCAGAGGCCGTTATCAGAACAAAGGTGTTTAATAGAAGATCACTTATTCACAACAATACATTACCAATGTTCACAGAGAATGCAATAAACACCTCAAACTTTATTGGTGTCTATAACACAAATAACAGAAGAGGAATGGATGAATAACTGTGAGCTACAATGACAAACTTCAGCTTTATGGAGAGAATTTTGTTGGAAAAACCTCATTAGGTTCTCCATTACTCCAGTTCAAAAGGGTCATTATAACAAATCTTCCAACTGCTGGAGACACTGTAGGTTCTCTGAGGCAAATCATTATCATACATAATGGTCTTGCCCACTATTAATTCCATTCTGGCAGGAGGTTCATAAGGTTTGCAAAAAAAGTACTCCGGGTGGACATTTCATTTAAACCAGAGACCCTGTATTTGGGCAGCCTGCCATTAGAAAATGTTACCTCTCATGTTGAAAATCTATTTCAGACTCTGACTACAGAAAACCATTAACAGAAAGTGGCTAAAAGCAGAAATACCTGCAGCTGATGATTAGACTGAAATAATGTTTTATATCTTTAGGATAAAAATAACCACTTTTTCTGACTTTTATTTAAGTTATTTGAGTAACATAAGGGCACACCCAGCATTCTGGTTATAATTATTAAGTTTGGGTTTCTATTTTGCATTTCACTTTCTTGTTAAGAGTTTTTTAGGAATTTAATTTCTATTTAGTTTTCATCAACAACAATACAGCGTATACATTTCCATTTTTCCAGCTGTATATTTGTACACATTATATTCAGAAATTACTTCAACATAAAAAGAAAACAGCATATACATCCACTCCGACATGTTAGCCCTTTGGTTGGAAAAAGCAAAATTGAAATTGAAAAAAATAAAAATTTAAAAAAGGAATGTAAAATAGTAGTAATTAGGGGTGTAGCGATCCATCGATTTCGATCGATTTATCAATTCAATGATCGATGCAAAGTGAAAACATCGATCCATATCGTCATTTTAAGGATACTTTTATTTTGAAAGTCTGTGTCACAGTCAAACAGCGGCAGGCAGATGGCAAGCAGCCCAGAGGAAGACGACCAGGATCACGTTATTTACTCGGGAACTGAGCAGAGTGGAAATAATTTGGATTTCGGAAAAGATAAGGATCAACAGACAGAGCACAAACCGTGCGTCAACAATGACGTCACGGGATAAAACACGACGTAACGTTACCTGTCTGGATGAGCATCTGTCTCACTTTGCTAGCTTCTTGCTTTAGCAACATTAGCTGTTCTGTTTCAACAATGTTAGCTGAAAAAACGTGTGCAGGCTGAAATTCAACCGAGCTGTTCTGTCGGGAGATACAGAGACTTAAACCAACGGTGAGTAATAAAAATAATAACATTATTTGTAATTTGTTAAGCTATAAGTAGAGGAAAATGTCTGCTAGCCGCTAGGCTAATTTATGCAGTGTAAACATGCTAAGCTAATAACAGGTGACTAGGAAAAAACAATTGTTGTGTCCATGAGCTCTGACAGTTATTACTGAGCTGAATTTGAAACTTATGTTAAATGATGTTGTTAATCCATGCTTTATGGCGGTTAGAAAGGTCTTTCTGACAGAAAGCCCTGAAGGTTAACATATCCCATGAGCTGTTAGTGGAGTGAGTTCAAAGTAAACTTAACTGCACTTAAGCAGTTACAGTGACTTATTTACTTGTTTTTATCTTTTATGTCAAAAAGCAAAAAAAAAAAAAAAAAAAAGAATGCAGTGGCAGCTTCTTTTGTCATATGGGCAGATAATATCGTCTCATCGCAGGCCCCTAAATTGCATCGCATCGAATCGTATCATGGCAGACTTTGTTATACCGGCATATATTGTATCGTTTTCCAAAGAATTTGTATAATATCGTATCCTAATGAGACCGGTAATTTACACCCCTCCTAGTAATAATAATCCACTCCACATTATGATCATACAGATGAAATAGAGGTGCAACCTTTGTTCTACAGACAGCTACATACAATGTATGTGATATGTACACTGGGGTAATATAAAAGCAAAAGTTTGGCTGAGCCCTACTGGATGATAAACCCCATTGTATTAATAAAGCCATGACAGCACTCCATTGTTTAGAAAAGACGTTTTTTTTGTAATCGTAATGAGCATGTAATTTGCTGCATCTGATAGAGGTCCCAGACTTTTTAGATCCATGTATTGTATGTGGGAGGGTCCGATATCAACCATCTGATGGTTATACACTTTAAGACTGCTGTAAGTAATGTAAGAGGTATTTCTTATCCCTCACATTCAGACCTTTGGGGATAACACTAAAGACTTCTTTAAGGGCATTAAATACCTTTCTCTAGTATACACATAACTTTGGACATTGCCAGAATATATGGGTGTGATCGGCAGTGCATGTTCCACAGTTTCTCCAACATGAGCTGGGGTGTGTTGGGCCCATTTCAGAAACTATTTCTGGTGTTCTGAAAGACCTAATTATCATTTCCATTTAAATTCCCCCCATGTGTTGGACCAGATGCGCCTCAGTGCATACCTCCCTCCAAGTGTCCTGTGATATGACCATGTTCATCTCTGCTTCCCATCTCTGCTTTATCTGTAGGGTGTTATGTAGATTCGTAGATGAAAATATTTTGCACACTTCACTTACTTTATTGTCTCCATTTCCCATTTGTATTACTTTTATAAAGTTTTCTATGGATGTAGGTTTTATGAGTTTACCCCACTTATTGTGTATTGTCAGAAAAGTTCTTAGCTGCAAGTATCTAAAGAAATCAGTCACTTTCTTGTTATGATTTGTGACAGAAAGACCCAGATGCAGAGTCAGGTAAGGTACAGAATTAAAGGGATTTATTATTAGGCTATGCGTGGAGGGAATGCCGTGGTTAATTGGACGGGCAAAGGGACTTGCAGAGGGAGAGCAGGCAAGCAGATGAAGAGGCCGACCGGTGGAGATGATCCTGAAGCAGAAGAGAACAGAATAAAGCAGGGCAAAAAACACTTGAGGAGAATGTGCAGAAAAACTAGATTACAAGAAGCCTGGAAGGTGTTACTACCACTGTAGCTGACTGAATGATCTGATGATGACTGGATGAATGACAGGGGGTAGATATACTGGAGCTTGATGAGATTGATGGGAGGCAGGTGTGGATCATCAGCGGTAATGGGGACCGGTAATTTTGACATGTCATAGTAGGAAAAACACAGGTGAAACTGATCGAATTAACAATGCCTCAGCTCCATTAAGCGTCCCAGTGAGATATTTCAGTGAGCCAGCATGTGAATTGCCAGAACCTCCCCTAAGTGGAATATAGCCATCATTAATGTTAATAAATTCACCTGTGCTTTTCCTACTATGACAAGTCAGTGTGTCTGCTTTGAAGCCTGGAGTGCCATGCCCACAGACACAGACATATGTAGACAGACTGGAACACATAGCGGAGGGGAAAAACACAGGGAAACACAAGGAAAACCCCAGGGTCATAGTTGTGTGTCACAGCCTCTGCTTCTGCCTCTCCCCCCTAGCCTGAAGCTTCTCCCACCTCACCCTCTCTCTTTGTCTTTGCCTCTGATTATAGGAGTGGGATCAGGTGTGCAGGTGTCGGGCAGCAGCTGCAATCCATCTTCAATCCTCTCTGCTTCAAATGGCTGGCTTCAAGTCAAGCAAATCACCAGATCGTAGGCTCTGTTTCTCATGCAAGCCCCCCCCCCCCCCTTTTTTTTTTTTTTTTTCTTTTGGAAGAAAGTCTTTGCTTGTTAAGCTTTTTGCTAATACCTGTTATCCCCCTGTCTGGAGCCTTCCCCTGGTCCGACTCCTGCCTCTGTGTCCCACTCCTGCACTGCCTGGAAACCACTGTGGATCAGCTCAGCTGCTCTCTGGACTCCTCTGCTAGTTACACCAGCCTTGCCCATCTCATTTCCCCCCACTCGATTCCCTGCATCACACTCTGGCCTCTCAAATTAAATTAAATTTTCTCTTATCCAAATACTGACCTGGACTGACCCTGCTTAGCTGATGAGATAGGCCGCGGTCAGGGTGGTATGGCGGTAAACTACCACAACACCTCCTGCTTTGACTGTGTTTTGCAGAAGGCTTGGATAGATAAGGCTATTAAAGGGAGACTATTTTTCTATTTCTATTTTTTAAGACCCTATTTTCCAGTGTTTTTGTGTCTAAGTGACTAATGGAGACAACTTTTTTTGAAATTGGTCCAAAATTAGAATAGAGTGGCTGCTAAACAAGCTGCATTGAAATCCCCATGGATGACTGGGCACCGTTAATTTACGTCTCCTAGTGCTTGTTTTTGCAACTGACAGTAGCTGATTATTATAATGAGTATCTGTCAACGTTACAGTAAGGACCCTACAGAGCTATGAAATGTTTTTTCTTACCTTTGGCTTATGCGATCCGTTTGTCAGTGTGTGTAACCAAGTGTTGCACAAGGAGAAGTCTTGTGAAAGCTAGCTACTTTTCACATTGTCGAAGTCTGCTAAATATTTAGCCCTGACATTGAAAATCTTTACATAACATAAAGCTATGCTTTCTGTTCTCCAACACAACAAACTATTCGTGGCACTTCTCTCTCCGACTCCCACCAACGTTTCAAATTGTTTTTCTTGCAACAAGTTGTGCGCGAAAATTTCAGAATGAGACTTCTCCTTGAGCGAGACTTGGTCACAATAACAAACAGACCAGTTGAAAGGTAAAGAAGAACGTTTCATTTCTCTGTAGGGTAGGCTTTCAGTAATGTTGTGAGACCCTTATAATAACAATCTGAGCCTGTCAGTGGCAAAACAAACACTTTTATTAAACAGAAACTGACGGTGCACAATTGCCTGTAAGGATTACATTGCAGCCTGTTTATTGTTTATTGTAGATCCCCATTAGTCACTGCCTCAGTAGTGACTATTCTTCCTGGGGTCAATTAAAAATTACAGTGCAATTAAAAATTCACAAGCAAAACTTCATAAAAAACAAAACAAATTAAAAAACAAATATAATATATACATTCACACATCTACCAAAGGAAAAAGAAAACAACAACTACTATCCTAAATGACAAATAATGATAAAATAAAATATAACAGACAAAGTACATACAGAAGTAAGCAAAAATAAAATGTATATCAATAAAGTAATGATAACCTAACTGAGCACACTAAATTGATATTAAACAAAATAAGTATAAAGAAAATCAAACATACATAACTCATAACAGAATACAATTAACTGACAAAAACATTAGTCACGATCTAAAACAACCTCTTTCTGCATTACAGCTCTTCTGAGTATTTTCTTAAAACCAACTCTACTGGAAATTAAAACTAAATGTTGTGGAAGTCTGTTCCAGTATGTAATTGCCCTGTACATCACTGTTTTTTTGAGGGCATCAGTTTTAGGTTTAGGCAAGGTGAAATCAGCTTTCAAGGCTTGTCTAGTGCCATAGTTGTGACTATCACTAGCGAGCAACAGCTGAGAAAAGAGACTAGTAGGTTTACGTGATATATAGATGTTTTTCAAAAATATAATAATGCTACAAGCTAGTCTCTCACTGACTCTCATCCATGACAATTCATTGTGCATTTTTTCAATGCTGTTCCTAAAAGAGCAGTGCAGAGCTAATCTCGCAGCTCTATTTTGGGTAAACTGGATTTTATTTAGTTCTTGTTTAGATGCATTTGACCAGATTGTTGGGCAATAGTCAAGATGTGACAAGACAAGGGTTTCACTACTGTGGCTGTAGTGTAGTCTTAATACTGGACCAATTTCAAAAGTTGTTGTTCTCATTAGTCACTTAGACACAAAAACATGGAAAGTCAGGGCCCAGGTCAATACTGGTTTCCCTTTAAGCACTATGAAAATGATGAGATTGTTTGTATGGTCCTTTGTATATCTAAATAAAAGGAGAAAAAGTATTTATAGAATTTCACTCAGTGGTACAACCAAACCCAATAATGATGCAAAGTCTCAGTTAATACTAAATTTCACTACTGGATTCACAAGATGGGGACACAATTCTAATGTTGTCCTGTCCTTCCTGCTTCTCCTCTGACAGAGGCAGTCCAGAGGGTTGGTACATGTGTGCAGACAGCTCAAACGGTGGCTACGGTCAAACCACTGTCCTCCAGACACCTCCCATCTCCTCCACGGGGCCGCAGTGCACTTTGGTCTTCTGGTACCACATGAGTGGATTCACAGTGGGATCACTGCAAGTAAGAGGAGTAACAAATGCTGTGTTCAACAGGAGAATAATACTTACTGTGATGGTTTCATCAGAAAACTCATATCTGTCTATATTTGCAGGTGCTGTTAAAGTATGGAAATGTCACACATGAGGTTTGGTCTCAGACTGGTAACCAAGGCAACAAATGGAGACGAGGAGAAGTGTTTTTGGGGTTATCAAACAACGTCCAGGTCTGTAAATTATTTGGTCACTTAAAAACACTTTCTAATGTGTTATATAACCAGATTCAATGGTTCATATCTTGATAATCAATGATATTGCATCAAAGGTTTGTTTTGCTCTTGTATTGGGTGATATCAGTTTTTCACAGAGATTTTCATCACTGTCTCCTCAGTTGTTATCCTTTTTGATGGTACGGTAGTTTCTTTTACTCCTGTGAGTATCACAGGACCAAATTTTTGCTTTTATTGCCAGTATTGTCAGCAGAAAGATATTTTTTAAATTATTTTTCTGATTTACACAGACAATAAGTAACATCAACACAAGCTGTAAATAGGCTACATCCATACTGATACCTTTACATTTTAAAACTGTGTTTTTAAAATGAAAACAATCTCTGTATGCACAAGCTTTTTGGCACCGTTTCAGAAATAATATCCGTCCATAATATCACACCTGAAAATGCATATCACATGACCATAATGTTCACTGCGCATGTGTGTTGCAGTTTAAACAGGAAGCAGATTATCTTCTCTGCGGTTTGTTGTTTAGTTACAGAAAATAATATCTAGAAAGAACAGCAAAGACAGAAAGAAAGACCAGATATTTTTTTACCTGTTAAGTGTTAACTGTGTGTTAAGTGTTAAGTATGAGGTGGTCGAGGCGGTGGAAATAATAGATTGGGAATCGTTACAAAGCAAATACAGCGAGAGCTTTGAGCATTTTCCATTGCTGGAGGAAGCCATGGCTATAATGTGTTGGCTTGACATGTCATGACTGATAAGACCCAATCAGAAAGTGAACATGGGTGTCTGCGTCATAGTTGTTGAAAAGTCTAAGTTTCTGCATGTCTAGATTAAAAAGCAATTACTTTTTAACTAATACAGGGTCAGAACATGGACGTATAAAGACAACTGGATACAGCACTGATGCAGGGCTCCAGTCATTCCTATAAGTTGCTCAGTGGCACATGGGGCCAAAAAGTTTGAGTTCCTGAATATAAAATTACTTCCACATCATTGGACCCATTTAAGCAGATGCACTGGAAACATCCACCAACCAAGCGGCTAACTTTCACTTTAGTCCTCTGCTGACTTGAATGGGGACAAAATGATTTAATGCGGCTCGTCTAGACTTTAAAATTATATTGGACTGCATGGATCAAAAACCAGCAGTGATGAGTCATTTTACAGGGGTTGTGAGGCTCAAAAAATGTATCCACTGATTAACCGACGTCTCTTTCACGGTGTAAATCTATGGAAAAATGGCTTTTTGGGCCCCATGACAACGTTTGACAGACCCAGAAGTTGTAATTCCACGGTTTTACCACTATGTCAGCGTCAAAGTGTCTTCAAAGCCTGGCGTTGTTCCCGGTGGTTTGGTCAGCAGCGTTTTCAAAGGTCCCAGCTTTAGAGGTTCTAAAACACCAGAGTAGTGTAAATGCTAGGTGTGAACACAGCAAAACTTGATGTGTAATAAAATGACAATATGTAAGTGTGGATGTAGGTATGTGTCCATTGCCACAGCTTTAGCGTTACATATTATGCTTATTACGATGTATGTGCTATAACAAAAGTGGTGGGTATTGTGACTTGCTTAATTATCAGGGAACCAACTGCTGCTTTTATCGGCAGAAGAATCACTAGAAATCTCAGAGTATAACACAAAGAAAGTTTCTGCTGCTTGAACAACACCTATTTATAACCTATTTTTCTGAACTAAACTGAGCAAAATATTCGAGAGTAATTACAGTTTCGGGATATACTTGAGATAAAACAGTTTGCAGTGATGAGCCCTTTTGACATGATGTATATTCCAGCGTCAGCACCACTTTACAACAGTAGACATGTGATTCAGATTATTGACATTCACTTTGAAGGACAGCCTCTTAGGTGCCTGTGCACATCAATGTAATGGGCCTAATTTCAGCCACGGCAGGCTAAATTGAACACGCAGGCTTGATGATGAATGAATTGATTGAGTCTAATTCAGACTAATCAGTCTTAACTTGTGAGAGTGATAGTAATCAGAAATGCAATCCCTTCGTGGTGTCTGCCTGCTGAGGTTGTTCCAGGTCAGTGTGACCACACAGACAGAGGTCCTGTGTCATAGCAGTAGAGCAGCCATCTCTTTGACCAAATACCACGGCCTTTGCACATTTTCACTGATGCACATTAACTTTTGTCAGACCCGACAGAGTGAGAACTGCGCTGATGGTACAATCTGCAGCTGAAAGGCCTTTTCACACAGAGCAGCAATTGTGCCCTTTTACTCTTTTCTCTGAGAGCTTCATCTACTGCCTGCAGAATAAGAAGCTATTGGCTCTTTTGATTCAATGCCTTGTCTGATGATACATATTTTTTCCTTTTACCTGTAGTGCTCTTTATCGATCTACATTGTTTGGGTTTGAGTTGCCGAGTGTTGGAGATATCGGCCGTAGAGATGTCGGCCTTCTCTCCAGTGAAATGGAACTGAATGGTACTCGGCTTTTGGTGAGTGCCAAAAAAAAAAAACATTTAAAAAAACTCAACAGCAATGTCTCTTTCCAGAAATCATGACTCAGTTACTCAGGATCATCCACAGACCTTGTTGTGAGCAGTTTCATGTAGGAACTATTATCATTCCACTGATCTTCACCTGCCAACCTTATCATGCGCAGAAGGAAGCGTGCATCTCAAGACGTGTGAGACGTAAACATTACTGGCATCCTCCTCAGTTAAGCTGTAATGATTCCTAGCTCAGTGGCGCTAAGTGAGCTAGGAGTACTTAAAGTCCTGCATTGGACTTTTCTCTTAATCCTGGTCCTGCCTGCTCCCATGGGATTTATGACCACCCGCTCCTGCAGAGTGTGTTATCCTGCAGACAGTCTGTCTATACATGCCCGCACAATAGATTGATTCTCAATACACTGAGTCTTCTACTGTCCCACAGGGAAAACACATTTTACTGTGGTATTAAGAAAGATATGCCAAAAAGATTTTGTGATATAAAATGCATATTGATGTCAAGGTCCTGGATTTCGGTGCAATAAGGGAAGATGTGATTAATAAAAAAGATTGGTATCTGTGTAAAATACTGTTTATTGCCAGTAAGAAAGCGATTACAAAGAACTGGTACAAATCTCCGAGCCTTGAAGAATGGATGGGTATAATCAAGGAGATTTTTATAATGGAAAAGATAACTTTTTCTCTGAGGTCTAGAGGAGCAATATTCCTCAGAAAATTGGAGAAATGGTCTTTATTTCAGAAGACTGTGAATGTCTGTGGACAATAAAAGGACATTTAAAACGTGAACTCGTGAATACTTAACTGGTGTGCCCCCACACAGTGTTCTCTATGGAGCTTATGTTTTGTCCGAACATTTAAAAATACTTTAATTAAAGAATTTTCAAAAAGTAAGATATGCATACCTGTCAGTAAAACGTAGCAAAATTACCTTCTAGTGCATAATTACATTCATAATTACAGTTATTCTGGTGTCTCTGGAGTTCACTGTTATTATAATTATCTGTAACAATGCTGAGAAGTTCCTCCAAATGTTCAACTTGCCTTGCTTTCTTTTGTATTTTAATGTCCTGCTTTTATCTTCTTTTTCACTTCACTTCTTGACGTCTCCATCCTTCATGGTAATTAACCTACAGGGCTCACACGTTTTTTTGACTGTCCGTGCCCACCTGCTGCAAAGATAAAACCTCCCGTTCCCGTGAGATTTATGTTGGGTCTGCAATCCCATTGCAGTCCTCTACAGCAGATACATGCTTCATTCTGAGCGGTGATATTGTTTGCTGGTGTAGTTTGGTAGAAAGAAAATAGTTCCTACATGAAACTGGTCACAACAAGGTCTGTGGATTATCTTGAGTAACCGGGTCATAACTTTGAGAAAGAAATGTAACTGTTAAGTTTTTAAAATGTATTTTTTTGGTGAGCACCACAAGCTGAGTGCCATCTAGTTCCATTATGTTGGAGACAAGGCAGACATCTCTACGGTCGATATCTCCAATCCAAAACAATCTATATTGATAAATAGCACTACAGGTAAGAGGAAAAATGTTTTCTTGATTTTGCGGTGAACTGTCCCTTTAACTATCAACCCTGGAGTATAAAAATGTGATTATCTTCATATGACAGACAGGTGTTGGAGTTGATTCTAGGTTTGTTGTCCTTTGTCAGGTGGTGTTTAGGGCGAAGCGAGGGATCAGCTACATGGGCGATGTGGTGATCGATGATGTCAGCTTCGTGGACTGCTCCCCTCCTCTTCCCTCAGACCAGCCATGCACACCTGAGCAGTACGCCTGCGCCAGTGGCCACTGCATCCCTCAGGACAACCTGTGTGACTTCATCAACCACTGTGGGGACAACTCTGACGAGGACCCCTACATCTGCAGTGAGGCCTCCTCTAATGTCTGATTGATGACTCCCTGTGAAAAATTAATTCTCATGTAACTGGACGGTCCAGATTGATTTATTCTTTTATTGCCTTTCAGAAGGCTTTAGTGGGCGCTGCAGTTTTGAGTTTGACCTCTGTTCCTGGCGTCAGTGCCGTCAGGATGACTTTGATTGGCTGATAAAAGCGGGCAGCACTCCCACAGTTGGCACCGGGCCATCAAATGACCACACGCTGAGAGATCCCTCGGGGCACTACCTCTACCTGGAGACCTCCTTCCCCCAGGCAGCTGGGGACGCCGCTTGCATATCAGGACCGTTATTGAGCCACAGGAGTTCACAGTGCAAGGTGAGACAGAGCTTGAAGTTCAGACGGAAAGAGGCAGTTAGTCAAGGTTAGACTAAATATTAAAGGTTATTTCTACTTCTTCAGACAGGAAAACACGTTAGTATGATGTCATCACTTTAAATGTAACTACTAGAAAACAAGATTAATGTATTGATGATTTCTGGATAGATGCTCCCTTGAGAACAACGGTTCTGTATAGAATATATGGCTGAAAATAAACAAATACTACCTATAGTAGTAAAGGTGAAATGCAAAAAACCCTAAAAATATGAATGGATGGAATAAGTTAAAGACACACTAAAAAATGTAATAAAATATTAGCTCTCCTGTGGCTTCCCTGACATGAATGTTAAAATGTTTTCCTGCAGTTTTTTCCATTTTAAAGGGACAAAAAAAATACATTTCCATTCATCTCTGATTGAATATTTTTACTGCATGCTGAAGATACTGCATAAATTTAATTTGTATTTTATCTTCTATATTTATGTATGCTTTATTCCATGCTCTAACGATCAAAGAGGCAGCAGAAGGAGTTGTATAATCAGCTGTAAACCTCATCGATGCATCTCAGAATATTATTTTCAGTTAGGAAAAAAAACTTAACACTGACCAGCTGACCCACACAAAACATCTGCCCACCAGCATGACTACAGCTCACTAATTAAAGGTCAGCTCCGTTGACGTTGTTTTCCAGGTATTTCAAATGGAAGTGCTCACTTTGACATTCACAAAATACGGTGACATAGGTTAGAGCACTTACAGTGATAATAATAATGATAACAGCTAAAAGGGTATTTATTCTTGAATTGGGGCTCTATGGGATAGGATAATATTTTCACCATTTGACCTGACCTTTACCAAGGAACTAAAGCCATTATGTTACTGTCTTCAGAGCCACCACACTCAACTAGTAATTCTACCTTGCAGAACACTGGGAGCTTGTTTGTCTGTGTTATTGTGTGATTTTTTTAAACTAACATGGCATCCAGAGCAGTACATTGCGTTGGTTGCATGCAGGTTAGGAGGTTAGAAGAATATAGCAAATTTGGAATATCGATAACACACAATTCTCAAGGAGTGGTATATTAGGTGGGCATCATCATCGTTGTCATAGTAGAATCCTACATCATGAGGATAGTTTTTAGAAAGGCTTAGGAAATTAGCATTTTGATGCTAAAGCATAATGTTTGGATTTGCATACATAAGAAACACCATTGGGAAGCTACAGAATGATATAAAACAAAAAATAATGGCCTTCAAAGGTCCAGTGTGTAGGATTTAGATATACTGACAGAAATGGAATGTAATAAGTATGTTTTCTTTTTTCAAAATAAGAATTATCTATTTTTTATGTTTTTGTTACCTTAGAATGAGCCGTTTATATTTACATAATGAGCAGGTCCTAGTCCAGGGAGCTGCCATGTTGCACAGCCATGTTTTTGTGGAAGCTCAGAACAGACAAACCAAACAGTGACTCTAGGTAGGGCCATTCACGTTTTTGAGTTGCCCACCATAGTTCTTTTTTTTTTTTTAAAGATTATTTTTCGGAGGTTTTACCTATTACATAAGTGTAAAAGGGCTACAGAGTGGAACTGAACCTGCGGCCACTGTGGCAAGAACATTGACTTTTGTATATGGGATGCCTGCTCTACCCACTAAGGCACTGGGTGCCCACTGTAGATAATTTTTAAGGTGAAACTGCTTCATTGAGTGTTTTTTTTACTGGTTTAAATCACCCGGTCCATTTGTTTTGCAGAGGAAGACACCTCTGCGGATAATTCTGCACCCAGTAAAAACCTCCAGAACAAAGAATACTGAAGGAGTCCTAAGCAGGAGTTTACGCTTGGCATGTGGGAGAAATTTCAGATGGTTGCAATCTGCAATCCTCACTGCTAGATGCCACTAAATCCCTCTAAATCTTACACACTGCTTTTTTAACATTTTATATCTTGTTTGTTTAGCGTGGTTTTAGACGGTTTTATGTGCTGCACCATTAAACAAGCAATATATAACGCGTTAATGTTAATCCCCATAGTCTTTATGCTAAGCTAAGCTAATCAGCTCCTGGCTGTAGATTCATATTTAGCTAAAAGACATGAGAGCGGTATTGATCTTTTCAACTCAGTAAGACAGGAAATAAATCTGTTTCTCAAGAGGTCGAGCTATGCCTTTAAGCTTAGGAATGTGTTGCAACTTACAAATAGAGTGTATGTGCTTGTGCACTTTATAATGTGTGTGTGTGTGTGTGTGTTCTCCCAGCTGTCAGCCCGATGCTCTACTAGGAACAATGTCTTGATTGACTGCTCGGATTGCTCTGCGCATCGTGTCTGTCTTATCCCACTCCTGACCTGTCAATCAATCACGCAGTCAGCAAAAAGGCACCAATTAAACTGTAGGGAGGGCTGTGCAGGGGAGAAATGAGAGGAAGAGAAGGATGGGGCAATCTCTCGCCTGAGATGGAAGGTGTAGTTGTGCCGCTGTAGCTCATGAACACCCCTCCATTTGTAAAGAAAACCTATAAAACATATCTCTGCCTCAGCGCTGTGCGATGGAGAGATATTGTTTTCTCTCTGAGCCTTAATAAAGACAAGGAGGAGAAGGAAAAAGTGCATCGATTTGGAGACGAAGATTAAGATTTAATTACCTTTGTATGCCCATACTTTTTGTTTCTTTCCATTGTCCACCATGAGGAGTAATTCTTACTATGGAGAAACTAAAGTGAAAAAGATAATGGAAAAGAAAGCTGAGTGCCAAAGACAAGCATGTCAGTGTAGAAGTCAGTCACAATAGCAGACTTTACTGGCATTTTGACTGTATTTTTCTTCAAATATGTAGCTGTAAAATCAGTTGTTTGTATAATATTTACACACTGTTGTGATGTGGATGACAAGTAATTGAGTATAAGAGTGGGAAATGTTTGAAAAGCATCTTTCACATCTGCACGCTCTGTATGTCTGTACCTTGTTTAGACACATTTCTCATTTTCTCGTCCTTTGTCCAGATGCGTTTTTATTTCCACATGTCTGGAGACGGCATTGGGACCCTCAGCGTGTTTGGCAAAAGCGAAGGGCATCTTCATCTCTTCCTGAACTTGACGGGAGATCAGGGCAACTACTGGCAGATGAGGGAGATCCCGCTGAGCCACAGCAGGGACTTTCAGGTTATGTTTGAGGGAAAGGTGGGCCGAAGTCCAAAGGGTGACATCTGCCTGGATGACATCACTTTCTCTCCGGGGTGTCTGCTCGCCTCCTCAGCAAGAGTAGAGGGCAACACTCCTCCTCCTCCTGCAGGTACAAACTCTACTTTGTCACACTAAGCCCTTTTTTCTATGCTCCGACTGTGTTCCCCTACTGTTCCATCTCCTACCTGACAATCCCAAAACAATGTGAAGAACAGCGACCAGAAAAGTTATTTCCAGAGAAAAACCTCTTCAATATTATTATACTACCTGTAATGAGATGACAAAACACCAGAAAAACTGATGTATTGGTCAACAGTCCTGTAGCGAATGTGTGGTTAGGTTTAGGTACAAAAACCACTTATTTATGATTAAGAAAAGCCCAGTTCAGACCAAAGATTAGAGACAAAACTGTTTCAGAACGTTGCAGAGGAAAGTTGCAGCAGTGTGAACTGGCTGCTCTGAGCTCGACTCAAGCCGGCTGATGGTGTCACCTGCAACTCAACTGGTCAAATTGCTGGTGGCTGGTTTTAGAACGTAAAGCACATCACCTGTTTCAACAGCCAATTGGCTTGTAGTGAAGTCCGCTGGTCAAGTCAAAATGACAACAGATGCTGTGTTCGCTTGCTCTGGGTGCTCCGTCCCTGCCGAGCCCTCTGTTTTCGTCCTCACCTGTGCAGGTGTTGGACAGTAGGTCGCTGCTGCTGCTTGCTGTATGTGCTTATGCCCCCCCTCCCAGCAAACACACACACACACACACACACACACACATTCTCATTGACTGATTAATTGCTGCTGGTTTTTATTATTTTGGTGTATTTATTATGAATACAGTCCATCTGATGCTCATTTCGTTTCTGTTTTTCATCACTACTACAAATGCAACTGTAGCCAGTATCTCACTATCACTATCCTCATTCATATTTTAATAAGCTATAAATTATATTCAGCCACAAAATGAGCCTGACAAGTCAAAGTCAGAACTGAAGTACAGAGAGCTATTGCATAGAGATGATACACCATCTCATCTAGTTGCACTGGTGTGAACCGGGAGGTTTTTAGAACGCTGCAGAACTACTGATGCAGAATGATCAGTAGTTGCCTGTTGCAACTTGTGTCATCACAGATCTTTGGTCTGAACTGGGCTTTAACCTAAAACATCTCATGTTTGGTGGTTTAAAAGTTGCTGGAAAGGCAGGGGTGGGTTGGTGAAAGACACTAGGGTTCTGTGGCTCAAACACTGTCAAGAAATGATATGTAGAAATGCAGCTAAGAAGCGCCACAAAGGGTCGGTCAAAACACCCTGGATCAGCACCCTGCAGCTGGGAAACGCAGCAAAGGGTTGGTAAAAACCCCCTGGATCAGTGGCTCAAACTCCGCTGGGAAACTGAAACTAACTGCATGGAGTGTGTATTTTCAGAGAAATGGGACTGTGGAGCAATGGGTGATTGTTTTTGGGATGCACGCTGTGGGAGAAATGGGCTTTGGGTCCATTGTAACATTTTTCGGACTAATGAGACGTTGGAATTTTGGGCCGTTGGAACAATGGCATGGCACCGTAAAAAATCAGGTTGTTAGCATTACAATTGTGACTTTAACATTTAGTTTAAAGCATCAACATCTCCCAGAGCCCCTAACATGGCTTTAGATCTCCATCATGTTTTCCTTACGTGTTCTGTTGGGAGGAATTTTTTCCTTATCTTGATAAAGTTGTATCAGAAACTGTTTTTGATTTTGGCCGGCCTGTAAAACCTAATGAGACACTGTAGTATGTGTGCACTGTTGAGAGATAACAATGTTGGCCTTTGACAGCTTCAACACAGTATAAAATCAGTACAAAATTTCATAGTAAGTTCAGTAGACAAAGACGATGGTTCAACAAGGCACTGAAGAATTACAGTAAACAGCCTGGTCCTTTTGTACTGGAGCAATAATAAAAAGCCAATATATTTCTGCCAAGGACCGGTGCCCCTGTGAAGGCCAGTATTTAGCTGGAACATATTGGTTTTTATTATTGTTCCTGAAGGAACTAGACAGTCAATTACAGCTTTTTAATTCCATTGTGACAAAGAGAGTGCTGGGATGGCAGTCTTCTTCTTGCTTTTAGCGACTGTAATCCTTTAGGGCTGTTTTCCTTTGTGAGTGTTTGAAATTGTTCAGAAATGACTTACAGTGTGAGGAGAACATGGCCGTGGAGCCCCAAGTGGCATATTAGGATATTTTTCTGATGCAGGAAAGTTATTACATTACTCAAATGTAGATTATTGCCGATTTGATGACTTTCACTGTAATAGTGTGCTCATATGAGCAATAAGAGAATTATTGACTGCTGCAATATAAGAATCTTCATTTAGAGGGAGAAAATTGTTGATGCAATATTTATAAAGGAAAGAAAATTAAATTCTGCTTGTCTATAGGGCATGGGCAAAAGTCAAACACCATCACTGTCTGTATCTCAGACTTGGGAGGCTATTCATGTTTTAGAAGTTTGTCTGCATCCCTTACTCCTTCTTTACGAGAGAACCCTTTAAGAGACGAGAGAAAACAACAAGAGCTGATTTATTGCCATTGTTACTCTGGCTATAATTGGCCTATTAAATTTATTGCCTTTCTCTTGTATTGGATGTTGGGGAGATGAAGTGTGTCTGTGCTCAGAAAAGGGATGAAACCGTGAAGCTCCTGCAAGTGTCTCCTTGTCTTTTTGAGATGAGCTGGAGACAGCTTCTGTCCGGCAGGAGAAGTGTGATGTGCAGGATTCTCCTTACAGCTGTCTCTTCCTCTTACTTGTTTCACTGTCTCGCTGTCTCTCTGCATTTGTCAGTATAAGTGCTAATAGTAAATAGCTCGACCCCCACAGGGTCGGCGTAGTAATCAGCCGGTAGAGAGCTCTGAAGTAGCGCAGCCTTGCTGAGATGCTAATGATGCTTTTATTGGAATGCTGTTAGTAACATTTAGCATACCACCAACAGTTTATCATCTTTCTCTTCTGCTCTGTGAGATGTCTTCACCAATATTCTGGAGGTTCAGAGGGATGAATGATATGTCTGTCTTGAGCAACATGTCAAATTGATGTCTCCTGAGACAAGTCTCAGTATTTTGGCCATACAGATAGTTTTGGCTTGATTTGGCCAGGTTTTGAGATATCGCCATCCAGTAGTTCTACCTAAACTTAAACACAATGGAGTTATATGCAGTGTTGTTTTTGATGCTGTAAAAAATAACATTAAAAAAATTCAGCAGCAGTGTCTTTACAGAAACGTCTTGTTTGTTTTTAATAATCCACAAGCTCACTGGGAACAGTTTAAATTGGTCCACTATGTCCACTGAAAGTGTTTTGTTGTTGCCACCGACAGGCTCACATTGTCATTGTAAGTGCCTGACAACATTATGGAAATGATCCCTACAGAGGTTGACCTTTGTGATAAAGAGTACAATCCTTTTTGTTCAACCAGCGCAGCCTTGAAAACACCATCGCCAAACAGATTCAATTTAGTCATTTTATTGTTGTAAAGCACACTCTAAGTTGACAGAAACAAAATAAGACTCACAAGAACTGTCATGGTTTGTCTTTCCACTGTTCCAACAATCACCAACTCTGGTTTGGTGATCCTTAATTCACCCAGTTAAATGTGAAAATATGCTGGCTATATACAAGCTAAAACTACTGTTTGTTTAAATGGAGATTTCCATAATGTTGTCAGACACTTAGAATAACAATCTGAGCCTGTCAGTGGCATTAACAAGCACTTTTAGTGGACGTTCACTGACAGAGCAAACGTGCCCTGTATTGTGGTTGCCTGCTGCGGCCCTCTCGCTCCATACTGGACTGTCAGGCAGACAGTCGAGGCACACATTATTTTGTATGTAGTTAGATACAGTCATATCCAAGTTGACTCAAAGTAGTGCAACAGCACAATCAAGCTTGTACATACATATATACACATTCTGTAAATGATTAGTGTAAGCAAAGGAGCAGGCAGTATCTGTCACAAGGAATCCAGTGTGTAGAATTACTGGGTTGAGAAATGCCAGAAAGAAAAAAATACAGCCAGGGAAAAAGGGCAGAGGAAGTTTTTCTTCTTTTTAAAACATGACAGGATCATTTTCAGAGCAAGTAATAGCAGAGCAAATAAAGCGGGATGGAAATAGAATGGGATGTTGGTCCTTGTGAGAGCAGAGGGATATATTTCTTGAAGGTTACGACAGGGAGAAACACCGCTGCCCTGACAGTGAAGTGAAGTTCATCCCACCATTAAGAGAGCCGGGCGGGAGAGGACTCGGCTCTCACTGCCTCCTCAGCTGCTGCAGGCTGCAGAGAACATACAGTAATACTGATGAGACCAAAGACAGCAGGAACTGTAATTATAGACTGAAGCGCCTCAGGGGCCTTTTCATCCACTGCCTCATTCTATAATACTATCACATTATATGATGTAGTGGTGAGACACTACGTTCACCCGTATCATGTGTTTTTATCTGGCAGGGAGTTCAAGCTTGGCTTTAAAGAGGCATTATAGAAAATCTGCAAAGAATTTTAACATAAAGCAGCATAGCATGTTCAGAGATGACGCTGTAGGTGTGCATGGAAAAAGAAAAGAATATCTGCCACACTTTTGACAACACATGAGCAAATCACAAACAAGAATCCCAATTTATCTTCTTGCCATTCTCTACTTGAGCACTGTTGCACTTCCTGTGCAGCAGGAATCTTTACATGATAAATAAGGAAAGTGATGAAAGATGTATTACAATCAATAAAGAGAAATTGAATGATGTCCCCTGTGCTTATTAAGATCATTAATTAAGGCTTCAATGGCAATTACAAACAAAACAGGAAACTCTCCTCTTCCTTCTGCATGTGGCTCTGGTTGAAAAAAGCCTGAAGGAGCATTTACTGTACATAACAGTCGTCTACGCTCAGTGACCACTTTATTAGGTAGATCAGTACACAGTCCAGTACTAAAGCATTGCCATAAAATCTGTCTTCATGAAGCTTGTAATGTGCTAACTGCTAACAACTGTTAGCAACACAACTTTTTGGCTGACACTAGATATCAAACAAAAGCCAGATGCTGTATCATATTAAGTTGCTGTGAGCTATAAATTTACTAG